TGCATGTGAAACAAGAAACTTGGCATTAGCAACAAATCTCTTCATAAAACATCCAGCATATTGGAATATGGAACTGGAGATTCCTCAGAAACACCTCTGATCTCTTTACTCTGTAGGGAAAAAAAATGTTTAGCACAAAAAAGAGTCCCTGCTCTTGAATAAAGGAGGTGAAATTGAACATAAACTGTGGAGAGGTTTAAATTAAAGAATTTCTTTAAACACCACATTTTCTAGTTTTATACCTCAAATATAGCACTTAATTTTAAAAAGCATGGACTGAAAATATAAGTGAGAACAATAACAATGAAATCTTTCTCCATTGCTAAAAGGATTACTAACTTTGTGTTTTTCACTCGGCACTGAAGATTATTTCTGTCAGCAGGAGAATTGCAATTGAAATGGTCCTGGCAGCTTTATTTACACCATTATTTTTGTTTTCTATTAGACTAATTTGTTTTTATTTGGCTTTATTTTGTGTCTGTTTAATGTTTTCTGCCTAGTCAAACCCAGTTTCCATTTGCATTGCTCATTCTAATGGGACTACGCTGTCTCCTCTATAGCTGTGCACTGCATAGATGCTTTGGGCCGTTATGCCAGCACTGGGCTGTTCTTCACTACCTTAGCTCTACTGCTTGTCAATTCTGCAGAGTGCCATCCCAATTCCATTAATGTGCTCACTGATTTAGCAGAGAGCAGAAAATCTATCCTAAATGTCATGCTTGTTTTTATAGGGCAGACTGAGTTGCATGAAAGGTGTGTGGTTGCAAACAGTAGCTATGTTAAGGTTTAAAGTGCTAAAAATCAGGATTTGGGATTAGGTAACTTGAGTTAATCAGCAAATGGATCCAGATACTGGGTTTCCATAATATTTATAATATGTGAATGCCTTGGGATTTGATGCAAGCGTGTATTTTCCCACTCTCAAATTGCTCTAATAAGTTTTCTTAGCTAAGAAGGTCCATGTAAGAGGTTTTCCAAAAGGCATATTTTATTACTAACACCATATTGACTACTTTTATTGTGTCTCTTTAAAGTAACTGTGACTGAAGCAGCACAATTAATTTTTATTTTGTTCTGATAGTTCTAGGTCATTTGGGCTCTGACTGCAAATAAAAACCTTCTCTCTTTACTCTAAGGTTTATACCTGTTTGACTTGATACCAGATCTAAATATACACAGTCATTAAAAAAAAAAAAAAAAATCATCTGCAGGATGAGTGAGATCCTCATGAATATTTGTGATACCATTAGGCAGTCAAATGAACCCCAAGGAGAGAGGAAAAGCTGCAGCAATCCTCAGGGCAGGGATGTTGCCTTGCTTTGTGTTCTATCTGCAGCAACTTCAGCAGCCCATGTAGAGTTAGTTGATTTCCATGGTCAGATCCCTTTGGTGTTATCTGCTGAGTTTTCTTTCACCTGAGTTGAACAGGGGCTCATTAAATTATTTTTTGCTCTGAGGTGGAGGAATTGGGACTGGCTGATGCGCTTATCCCTGTAAGGCTATTCTGGTGCAAATGGTTTTTAAAAATGTGGCCTGTGGCCATGGGTAGCAGTTACAGGTAACTGAAGTGTGTCTCTCTGGCAAAGAGGATACCATCCCTTAGCATGGATATTTACATTGGAACTTCACTTATTATTTGTAATGAATAAATAAGATGGCAATGATGAGTCCAAGTAATTTCCAATCTGAGACTTTCTACAGCTTTACTCACTTTATCAGGCCCAATAAGGCCAATGAAGATCCCACCACATTTACCCTCTGACAATTTCATTTGTTGTAATTTAACAGCGCAAGTGTTGCAAAAAGCAAATTCTTTTTCCCACTCTGGATCATGAAATTAAGTTGTCCTCTCCTGCCTTAAGGTCTCATAACAACGTATTCAAAACTAAGCACTGTTTGCTCACTTCAAGGTTCAGAGAACACAGTGTAACATGAAGAGAAGGTTTATGTGTGTCTATACTGGCATTTTCTTCAACTGTGTGTTTCCTAGCAAGCTTCAGTAATTTTGTCTGAGTTACTTCATGCCCTGTTCTGCATTGGTGAAACAGCTCTGTAAGCAGAGGGGTCTTTTTTTACCAGATCAAAAACCTTTCACATATTTCTCAAAAAGATTTTCCAGGATTTCCAGGGGCAATGTGGAAAATTGTTGTCCAGTGCGCTATCTAGAGTGATCTCTGAAACATCCCCTTCTTTTGGACTCTTTCAATTCTCACCAGAGGCTTTGAGGATGTTGTTTTCCATATTTTAAGTCAACTTTCACTGAGAGTTTACTCCTCTGTAGCACAGAGCTTTTGGAGCTGTCAGTACTGTCGTGCCTTTCAGAAGCTCTCAAACATGCCACTTTATTATTTAAATAGTTTCTTCATGCTGGCAAGTAATTTTCTTTTTAAAGCCTTTTTAACTTAAAAATATACATGTACCCCATAGGTTGGAGAGGAGTGTTGTTTGTATGAATTAATAATAAAATATGCATAGCGTAAGATAAAACCATGACCATCTTTTGGTCTGTGTGTGGTATGGGATCAGAAAAGCTGTTGCAGCCATTTCTGAATGTGGAAGCATTGCAAAGCATTTGCTGTGTTTATAATGCTGAGGAAAATATTAGTGCAATATCTAATTTGATGTCTGTGGCCATTCCCTCAGAAAAGAGAAAGTTAAATAGCTCTTTCATGTCTTTGAAAATCTAAGATCAGTTTCTGATGTTTTGGGTTGAGAGAAGGCTGATGTCCAATGGTTGCTGTGTATTTCATTAACATGTGACAAGTATATGTAATGAAAAACTGTACTGCTTTTTGTAAGCAAATAACAGATCAAAATCTGTTCACGCTTTTGTCTGTCTTATTCTGATTTTTTTCTTTATTTTTGTAAGAATCAGACTGAGATGATTACCATCAAAGCTTTATGCCACACCATCATTCTTTATTGTCTTGTACAAAATACATTATTCCCATGAATTTGGCTTTATGGCAATCCCTTCTCCGTTTCCCTGTATCTGTATTTTCATTCTAGCTGTTCCCAGACAGAGTGAAACAATGAGCATCTTAAAATGTCTCGTGAATTCTCTGAAATGCCAACCAGCAGAAGTCTTTGACTGCCTGATTGCCAAGGGCAACTGGATCTCTTTGAATCAATTCTCCTAATACGTGAATGATGACGGGTGGGAGGAAGCCAGGAAGCCTGGCTGGTGCTTGGTCCTGTTGTTGCAGAAGTCTGCATCTCTACCACTGCATCTTTCCTTTCCATGAGCCATTAAAGCTGATGTTGATTTCATCTCATCTAAAAAAGGAAAAAGGGGAAAAAAAAAAAACTTATGAGGGGAATCAATTCCTTCCATGGTTTTCGGCTGTTTGCCAGAAGGATAATTAGCCTGAGCAATCTTTCACTGTAGTACTGTTGTTATTAGTTTAACCTTAAACTCTAAGTGCTTGTATGATTAGGACTGATGATTTATATTATATCTTTTGAAAGAACTTTTTCTGGGAGGGAGAAACAACTTGAAAGCATAGCAAGTTATTCATATTTCTAGGAAATATTCCTCAAGATGGAAGAGGCTAAAAGTACCTATCAGATTCCTTCACCCCGAAAGGTTTAGTCACAAAAGATAGTTTTTCTTTCCTTTTCTTTTTGAGAAATGTAGCCTCCCTGCTGCCCCAAAGCCTAATTCATCTGAAGAAGTGTGTTTTAAATGGTTGCTAATGTGCTGTTAAAGATGGAATTGCACTATTGCACAGCCATCCCAATTACCACACTACCATATTTCACTCTGTGCTAGCAATGAAGTGGGTATTAAAAATCACAGTAACCATTTTGTTATTGTACCATCGTCTAGAGAAAGGTCCATTATATGTTTGATGTGATCATTTTGTCAAAGACAATGAAGATCAAAGCACAGTAGGAACTTGTAGTGTCTGCTTTTCTCTTCTCTCTCTCTCTCTGGCCTTTCCCCTTCTGTCTACCTCCAGAAAATTCTGCTTTTTGAAATAGTGGAGGATTTTGCCTTTCTCTTCTCAGCATATTTAGTCACCCACCAAACCCATAAATGAAACGTTCAGTTATCTGAATGCAATTAGCCACATATCTATTTTTCATCTTTTCTTTCAGTTATTTTGCCTTTTAATTATCTCTCTTTGTTATTAAAAACAGTCACATGCTAAATTCAATCACTCTGATGAACAATATGAAATAAAGAAGTTCAATCTTTCATAATAAAGCTCTTCTGTGGGATCCAGTGATGCTGTGATTTTTATTTTTTTTTCACCATTAAGAAATTGCCCTTTTCAGTTGTCTGTTGCTCACCTTTTCTTTTTCTCCTGAACAATAAACTGAAGAACCTCAGTTGTAAGATACAAAATTTTGTACTTTCTGTTCCAGAGCACTTCCTTCTGCTTCTAAATTTGTTGTTTCTCTGATGACTAAAGAAGGAGCCATCATTTTTGAAAGATAATCTGAGATAAAGCATTTAAAGTTGCTCACTGCAAAATACCAGCCAGACTTCTTACAGTTTACAGGAGAAGAACCATGCAGAATGGTTCACTTTGGGTCAATATGCAACAAATATAAACAGTATTACATTGGTGTTGTGTTGAGCTACTCCTGCAATGGCCTCCTATGGCTTTAGCCATTTATCAGAGATTTTTTTTTTCAGCTTCTAGCATCAAAGTACCTCTCTGCTTCTTTTCTGTATCTCAGCTTGGACTGTCTGAACTACAGACCCTGGCCCCAAAGAAGTGCTTTATCCTTACTGTTTACTGTAATGCATTGGGTTTTGGCCTGACAAAACCTTTATGTAGAGAGATGACCAGAACTGAAACTCATTCTGCCAGTAGGTGGGGACTTGGGGAGGTTAGTCTGCAGTTCTGTTTTTTGACACCAAAAGCTATGTTGGATGATGAAGACACATCCTTTGTTTTTCTGTTGGATGCATTCAGTAAATTGCTTGCCAAAAATCTCATTCTCTTCAGATGATGCTGCTAATATTCCTTTTCCTGTTTCTTTTACAGTTTGTTGCTCACCCTAACTGCCAGCAGCAGCTGCTCACCATGTGGTATGAAAACCTCTCAGGCTTACGACAGCAATCCATAGCTGTGAAATTCCTGGCTGTCTTTGGGGTTTCTATAGGCCTGCCCTTCCTTGCCATAGCCTACTGGATTGCTCCCTGCAGCAAGGTAAGGACTTCCAATAGTTCACGTTGCTTACTCTGATTCTTAGACTCCTATTCTTTTTCTGTAGTTGCTGTAAGTTCCTCACTTCTTCTGGACTCCTTTCTTCCCTTTTCTCCTTCTTTTTAATCTTGTATTTTCAGTTATAGCGAAGCATTACTGTGGCACGTGTACCTGAAACTGGCAAGACACAGAGGACAGCTTAGGGTTGCAGAGAAGGCTATAATTAATCAAACAATCTTTATGGTTTTGAGGGAAAAGATGATGAAATTTGGAAAATTTCCTAAATATGGCTGTGCTCTGTCTCAAAGCATCCAGTGGAGCAGGAGTGTTTTGCCAAGGCTTAGAGATCACAGGAGTAGGGACAACCGCTGGCCTATGTACAAGCTTGAGCTCTGTAAGCAGACTTCCATCCTGATGGAGACAGCTCAAATGAGTGGAGATAAATAGGTGTGTGGCTGACTGATAAATAGCTTTTTTTCCCACTACTCTTACTGAAGGAAAAAGAAGTGGCAAGGGAGAAATTTATTTCACGTTCAGCAACATCATCCTTACAAGGTAGACTGTTTAGACTGTTCTCAGCAAGAGGATTATCAAAGGTACTTAAGTCTGATAGAGATGACCCCTGGCACTTGTAATTTACTCTATCTTGAAAGCAGCTTCTCATGTTTCATTTAAAAATCCAGCAAGGGATTGTCTAAATTTGCCAAACCAAGAAATTATAGATCTGTGGGTGGATGTTAAGGAAACACTGTAACTTAAAAGATTTATCTGTAAGTAAAACTAGACAAACCTTTTGAAAGCAGTCTTCCAGGGCATCCAAGATGATAAAACATTTTTAAGGCTTACAGTCCTACAAAACAAGTACGTTCTTTTTGAGTGCTTGAGAATGCAACTTCATTTTGTTTAGATAGGTATCAACATGTGAGCCTGTAGATCTTATAATACTGGCCAGGACTCCAGAGTTCCCCATGGAGAAGTGCGTGTGAAACCAGGGCTGTGCTTTGGTTGGTTTGGGTTAGGTGACAGTGGGAACTCATGTGGAGGTAATGTTGACTCCTTTGTGTCAGAACTCAGTCTAGCAGGGATTTATGAAGCTGTTCAATTTTCTTCACCTCTGTTGAATGTGCTGGGAGCTGGCACACCGGTCAACAGCAATGTTTTTGGTGTATTCCCAGAACTGCAGGCTTTGTGTTTGAATGCATAAGTAGGTGGGGGAAAAGGTTAGACTAGAAATAAGCAGAGAATTTAAATGAAAAACATAAACGAAAAACATAAAACCAACTGAGCAAAAACTCACTCAAAACCTTGAAATAAATTGTAGGAAAAAGAAGAAATAACTGAGAAAGGTATTTGGTCTTTAAATTCATGAGGTAGGCATATTAAAATTTAAAATAATAAAAAAATTGAAATATGGAACAGCACAATTTTCCCTTAAATTTTCTTTTTTGTGTGTGATTTTTTTTGTTACACAAAATCTTTTGTGCATTCCCATTTTTCAATGTCCTGTTTTTGTAGTGGTTTTTTTTTTTTTCTTTTTTTTTTTTTTTTTTTCCTGAAAGAGAGAATCTAGCCTTCTATTCTAAAGTCAAATTGGAAGTTATTTCAAGAATTGTCTTTCAACAAATGGTTTTCCATCAGTCAGAACAATGCAGTCTCGACTTTTGTTTTCTCTGGATGTTTTCCTCTGCAGTTAAGCTATGTTTTCTACAATATGTGTCATGCTTCTGCTACGAGTGTAGTACTGAGAATAGTGAAGACCTCTTCTTTTTTGCAGTTTCTATCTTTATTAGTTCCTATCTCATGGAATTAAGATTAATTTGCATTTGGAAAGCTGTTTAACTCTCACCCTTTCTATACTTTCTTTTTCACCTGTCTGTAGGCTTTATTATTTTCCTATGATGCAGATAAGATTTCAAGTCATGAAACGAGATATTCTCTTAAGAATGAAGCTTTGTATTGGCACACTGTCAGCATTTCTGTCATCCTAACAGCAGCAGTCAGGCATTTCCCTGCAGGCTGCATGTGATGTAAGATGAAATTTTGATTTAATAAAGAAGTTGATACATTCAAGAATGACACACCTGGAGTTCAACAGTATCGCGGTGCATGGAAAAGATATCTTAATGTCATAATGCATTATGCTGAGTGGAGGAATTGCTTTAATCTCAAGTCTCTATTTTTCTGAGTTCCTACAGACAAGAGAAAATGTCTAATTTTTCAAAAACAATTCAGGCTTCAGAAGAAAGTGCTTCTTTTAGTGAATTGAGAGTGGGAATGGGCCGTGCATAGGCTGCAAATGCACTTAGAATCTATATTCACAGCTGTTAAAATTTGCTCTTTAAAAGCTCTTCCAGGCTGATCACATAAAGAAATAATTGAGGTGGTTACTGTATGGGACATCCACACTGGAAACATAAGGTGGTCTGCTGCAAGTGTGAATCTAGTCAACACCTGCCATAAATACCTGCTGAGAGCTAACATGCACCACACAAGGTTTTGAAGCAGATGGGTGAACCACTGTCATCAGTGTTGGGATTGTTTTTAATTAATTTCATTTAATCAGAAGACCTACATCTGCCATAACATTCTTAGCAAAGAGTAAGGAAACTTGGACTTTGAGTCAGGGCAATATTCGCTTTCCTAAACACATATTTATGTATCTTGGTAAGAAGTAAACTTGCTAATAAGAGCTCTTGAATAGAATAGGTTGTGTTAGAAAGACTTTCTGATGCTTAGAAACATACAAATTTTCCAATAATTTATGGCATAGACAGAATGGAATATCCTGGTTTTGACACTTTAAAATCTCAAGAAGAGGTCATAAACAGGCTCTATTTATGTTTATGTTAGACCTGAATAGCCCTGCTTTTAAAGAGTCCTTTTGCTGCAATAGCAAGAGACTTGCATTCCATTGAAAAGCTCTTTAACCAAGGCTGTTGATGGAGCTAAACAAGGAAACAAAGAATTTCTCACTTCAGTCCTTTTTCACGTTTTTTATGAGATGTTATGAGCAACAAGGTAGATATTAAGAAAATTTTGAGCATGTCCTGTTATTGAGAGAAATTAATCAGTGTGTAATACACTGCAAAAAAAAAATCCCATGTGCTTTGAGGTTGTTCTGGAAAGTGCAAGTAGCACTTGCACTGCTGTGTATTGACATCTCCCTGGAATAATGGTTACTTAGGCCACAAAAAGTGAAAAAAGTGTTATTTAAACTGATTAGGAATAAAGTTTTTTTAAAAAGAATAGAAGAAATACTGGTTGTAATGGAGAGGTCTTGGCTCAGATCATGGCTAAGCTTATTCTTGGCTTATTTTATTGGGATAAATCCATGTGTTCTAGGGAGTGAATCTACAGATCTTGTGCTAATTTTAAGAGAAGTCTTTCATATAAGGGTACATGAAGACTATTACAAAGGAATCTTTAAATGAAATGACATTTCCTTCACATTGCTAATGAACCAAAAATTCAGAATTAATAAAAGATTCTAATATATTACTGCTTAGGATCTTGTAAAGAAGAGGAGAAGTGGGTACGTTGTTAGGTTTAATTTCATTTTCTGCTTACTACATAGGAGGGTTAGATAACATATGTGGGTGAATGGGAGAAACGATACTGACATGCACAGAAGAAGGCAAAAAAATCTCATCTTGTGTGTTTCATTTCAGTTGGGACGGACCCTCCGAAGTCCTTTCATGAAGTTTGTGGCACACGCTGTTTCTTTCACAATCTTCCTTGGACTGTTAGTAGTGAACGCTTCGGATCGGTTTGAAGGAGTAAAAAATCTTCCCAACGAAACCATCACAGATCATCCCAAACAAATATTTAGAGTCAAAACAACTCAGTTCTCGTGGACAGAATTGCTGATCATGAAGTGGGTATTGGGTAAGCAAAAACAAACCATTTAAAGTCCTTGAGGGAGATTAAACTTAACTAACATAGCATGGTAGGCAGGGATATCACAAAGGGGGGGAGGAGAGGAGGAATAATCTTAAAAAAAGATGAAGTTAAATTTCAGGCTGATTAAGGTGTTCTGATTGATTAAAACATAATCAGAAAAGACTTCTATTTTGGTTTTGAAAACACTGAGTAGTTCTCAGCAAATTCCAACTTTGCTGTTTTTTCCATTTTCTGGAGTAATTTCCAGAAGCTGTTGTGTTTGCTGGGATTTCTTAAATCACTGAATCTTAAAGAACGTAGTATTGTATGCAGTCACAGTAACTTACAGCTTCTCTGAGTAGGGAAAAAGTGTCCCCTTTGGGACGTGAACAACCAGCCTCTTTTATTACCTTGCTATGGCATCTTATTATAAGTCACAGGACCTTGTTTACCTCATCTGTGAATTGGGTGTGTGTTGCTGTTTGCTTCTTGGAAAAGAACTCTGAGATCAGGTGATGAAAGTTGTTGGATAAATAAGAGCTGGATTTCATCAGGTTCGTAGTACGAAACTGCTACTGGTGGGATAACTTTTTAAAAAAGAAATGAAGTTGCCTAAAATTTATAAAGCACAGATTCATTTGGATGAACCCCTTTGAGTGCAAAACTGTGTCACATGCACAAGTTAAACTGTGTGGGGATTTTTTAGCAGATTCAGATGTATTACTTTTGCTGGCACAATTTATTCCTGGCAGGTCAGCTTCTTTGAACCACTAATCTCAACAAACTCAGAAAGATTTATTGGGAAATTGATCTTATCGACTCTGCAGAATCTTTATCTACCTCTCCTGTATTTATTTTTACTTTTCACCAGGATTTTTATTATTTTCTTGCAGTAGGACAAACAACGTCATGCTTCTATAAGTACTGATGGCATTAAATCCCTCTGAAAAATAGAATAGGGCTGCTCTATCTGATGACTTCCCGACCACCATTTCTTTGTTCCCTGTCCTCACAATAAGTGAAGTCCCATACAGGATATTAGACAAGGAAAAAAGCCTGAATAGATGCCAGACTGGATAGAGTAAGAGATATTTATAAAATGATATTAAAGCAGTTGGACAAGATGATTAGATTTTAGCCTAGGTATTCTTTTCTCATAGGCAGAAGGTATCTGCCTGCCTGGAGAGTTCCTGAGAGATGAAGAAGAAAGCGTTTCATTTAAAAGCAAAGGTTTTCACTTTCCTGGGAGAAGGAAAGTGATTCATTGTACAGATTTCTGAATATAATGAGATTTTCTAATGACTGCCTACATCAGCACTGACAGTCTTCTCCAGCCATTTTGTCTGTCTGCCTACAGTAAAGCTTCAAATAATGTTTCAGCTATACTAATGTGAAATTTCAGTGCGTGTAGACTGTGGGCAGCTGGTCTGGGGCTTTGGAATTTATTGGGCCATGTATGGACTGCCAACTTTATCAAATGTCAACGTGTAGAGATCATGTTGGATGCTCAGTTGTTGAGTGCAAGAATTTTGTAGATATTGCAAGTATACATCTAGAAGTGTAAACATAATTAAATGTAATGCTATAGCCAAATATCACAGGCAAAGACAGCAAGAAATGCTTTGTAAAGACAGAAATGTAAATAGATAGTAAGTATATGCTGAAGTGTAGTAAATCTCTTATGTACTAAAAAATACATGGCTGTATTTAATCTTGCTTGGCAATGTCTGCGGCTGCTCTCTCCAGTCTCAAAAGCATTGATGATTACCTACATTTCAATTCATAACACGATCAAAAACTGAAATCTTATTTATTCTTAGTTGTAAAGCACATTTGTCCTGTTTTTGTACCTTCTATTTTCTTATTCATTCTATGGCAGCAATGATGAATGCTGATGACACCTTACTTGTTTCAACTATAGCAGACTGTTTTTGAGTAATTAGTTTACAGGTCCCTGATCTTGATTCTGTTGGAGGGGAGGAAATTGGCTAAGTTACCTGGTTGTCAACAAAAATATTGCAACAGATGTTCAGAATAGCGTTATTTGAGAATAATGTGACACTTCAACATGGCATATTGTGGCCAAGAGTGAGTAAAACCTATGATAACACCGCCTGCAAATAATCTCACTGGAGGTATGAAAATTGATAAATATATATATATATATATATATACTTGGTTTTTTAAGGAAAAACTACTGGTGCAAGAACGACAGGCTGCTGTTAGACAAAAAGATCCCATTGCCATATCTAGCTCCCAGCTGTTTGTAAGGGAGGCGAGTAGTGGAGTAAACTAAGTGGAGACAACAACTTTCAGCCAGGCAAGCACTTTATTCCCCTCCAAAATCCATACCAGAGAGGCTCTATTTGTCCATTAGCCTGCAGTTCTGAAATGGCTGTAAAGGATTACCAGATCAGTCAGGTAGTGTTAGTAGCCCATTCGATGTCCTTGTGAAGAGCCAGATAAGCAATAGCATTTTTAGATGGTTTTGTTCTCACTCCTCTTGGTTACAAATGAGCATTCAAGAGCTGCTCCTGGCAAACTCAGTGCAGAGAAATACAGTGATGTTCTCATACAAGAACTTGCCACTTGGCCTTAGAGTGCTGGGCACTGCACATTAGACTCATACACCTCAGGTGTTTGTGCCCTTTGCCTACCTTTTACCCTGCATCCGGATCTTCCCATCTCTTGCATGAGGAAGGCTGGGATTTTCTATGTGAGAAACGTGCCCCAAATACTCACTAAAAGTAGGGAGGTTCTATTTAGAGAGACAATTTCCCCCTTGTGAAAGCAGCAGAGCAAGCAGTGGAACTCTGAGTGGGCACAATCTGAGCACAACCTTCTCTGCTAATCCTGCAGCCTTTGAGAAGGCTCAAAGTAGGATCTCCAACACTAGCTGTTCATGATTTATGTATCAGGACGGTGGATATAAAAATCTGACAAACTGTTCCTTTTCATGCACAGGTGGTGAACAGCACGCCTTGTGTATTTCCATTTTTCTCCTAACCAGGTTGTGTGTGTAGCTTGGTTCTCCTTCCCCTCCTGGAACCAGGAGTGCCCATCAAGGTGACATTTCCAATTATCCTCACTGTGGGACAGCAGGCACCTCCAGGAACTGGGAAGCAGAAGCTGCTCATAACCACCTCTCCATCATCAAATTCATGGAACTCACCTCTCCCAGAGCCATCAAGGGCCTCAGAAATACTGCAGTGAAATGCTGTTATACTCAGGGAAATCTAGCTTGGCCTCACTGCATGACACATCTCTGTTCTACATCCCATCTTAAGTTCCATCCCCTCAATTTTATCTACATTTTCTCTCCTCTGTATTTTTATGTTAGAAGATTTGAATACTCTCCCACAATGTACATATAATTAGCCAGCAGTACTGACCACGTAATTACTGTAACTTTTCTACTTGTCCTGAATAGACATTTTTCTGTATGTATGGATAAAAAATGACTGCCACGTAGTTGGCAAAAAAGAACAATGTAAATTATAGGCCAACAGTGTGATACTTTCACAGAGCGATTCTAATTTTAGTCAGTCTACTCAGTTTTAGACGTGTCTTACTACATTAATCTGTGACTTAGGTATATTAAGTGACTGAGATTAGAAATAAATTTGAGTAGGAGAGTTAATATTTAAACCAGGAAAGACATTTTATGGGCATCAGTGAAGAAGTGCTGTGTTTGGCGATGACGTGCACGCAATATTTCCTGAAGTACTTTTTATACGATGTGCGCACATAATGTGTAGCCTAATGTCTCATGTCTATCAATTTGAGAATTTTTTTTTTTTGAGCCAGAAATGTGTTCTTTTAATATTTCATCCTTACTCCAGAACAGTTCCCGAGAAACCAATTCTTTCACTTTCTGCCCCAGGCTATTTATTATTAAATCTCACCATGGTAAATGATGGCTTGCGATGAAGTTCCTGCTTTCACTCAGCCAAGAACCTGTGGACACTGTTGCCTCCCCCTGGCTTTGCTGTGCACTCAGCAGGCCACAGTCTTTCTTCCAAGATAGATCTATGTGAGGCATAATCTGTGTTGTGGTACAGCTCCTGGGTTCTGCCTGGAGGTCCCAGTGCTACAGAGGTTGCAAGCTGGTGGTGCCTGAAATAGAGATAGCTTAGCTTTCCTTTGTCTTCCAAACCCTTACGAGCGCTCAAGGACTGATGGCATCTGTTCTTCATCTTGTCAGCCTCGCACTGACTAATTTCCTTCCCTATAACTGACTCCTGACTGCTCCTCTTGGGACCGTGTGTGCTTCCAGGAGTCTCTGAAGTAGCTGAGCAAATGCATTTAGATGCCACACCACAAGAACTTCCAGCAAAGAAGATGGAGAAGAGTTCATATAAAGGACATGGTTGCAGGAGGCTGCATGGAAATTGGTCGGCCCTGCTTGCGCTTGATTAAATGTGAATTTTGCTGCTGCTATGGAAACAGGATTGCAGGAAATATTTATAATTACCAGTGGGTAAAATATTCCAACATTTTATCTGTTCTGAAACATTTTGGCCTTGGAGTCCTGCTACGACTGAATATTGAGCAAGCTGGTGAATCTGACCTGAGCTGTCGGCTCCAGTTCACCCAGTGAAATCATCCCCTTTCCCCAGCACTCCCCAGTACAACATGGATGTCAAAATCCTTGAATTCTCTGGCTTTTAGATTTAGGTGTTTCTCTGGTGTTTAGATTTACTGTAAGTCTACTCTTAGAAAGATCCTAAATTCAGGATAATGTCAGGATTTGCAAAGTGGTAAAGCAGGCTTTAATGTCTGGAAATTCATTATTTGGTATATAAAACTTAATGAAAAGGGCAATGCAAGGACGAAACTTTTGTTTTTCTTTTTCTCTGATCAGGCTACGTTTACTGCTAGGTCAGATTTCCTTTCACAAAGCTATTTCCATTCTTAAAATGCTCCCAAGCTCTGCATTAAAGGAGGAGAAAAACCCCAGCAGAGTAAGTAGTCAGCCAAGCTTAGCAAGAAGATTTTGAAGAAAGGAAATGTGCCTTTTTTTTTTTTTTTTTTCACAAGTAGATCAGCTGTAGGATTTTATAACATCCTCAGTATTTGTGAACTGTGCTTTCACAGATCTGCAGAAATCTGTTTTATCAGCGATTAATCTGGTGAAATTTTGAGATGTTAGCATTGTTTGTGCAAAGGAGTATACTAGCTTAAACATGTAATCATTTTAAAGGAAAGCTGACATTAAGTGTTCTCTTGAGGAAGTCAGTTTAACTGAAGAGTTACTTGCTTCAACCTTCGAAGCCACTGGTAGCTGGGGAATGGGTCTGTCTGAATGCAAAAAGTGCCTTTGTCTGCTGGTTAAACGTGCTGTGGCCTCTCTGTAGGCATGATATGGTCAGAGTGTAAGGAGATCTGGGAAGAGGGCCCACGAGAGTACGTGGTACATCTCTGGAACCTTCTGGACTTTGGGATGCTGTCCATCTTTGTGGCGTCGTTCACTGCCAGGTTCATGGCTTTCCTCAAAGCGACCGAAGCACAACAGTACGTCGATCAGTACGTTCAAGATGATGACCTCAATAATGTCACCCTTCCCCCTGAAGTTGCTTACTTTACTTACGGTAAGATGCTTTTGGCTATCTAATGCTTCTTATTCTTTCAAGCTGTTGTGTGCTAGTGCTGAAAGTACCTTCCTTTTTGTGATATTTATGAAAGTTATTTTCCATTTAAAATCATCCTTCTGAGATTTACCCATTCCAGCCATTTTCATAAGCAGCCAAAAAGAACTGAGATCTGACCCTCGTCGAGTCTCTAATTTTGCTCTGAGGCTTAGCTCAATCACTTCCTGAAAAATAGCTTGAGCAACAAATTATTGGGACCTGGGAGGATATAATTTAAATTATAGATGATGAACCCACTTCATTTTTCAAATGCAAGAGGAGGGACATGTGAACCAGTGTGAGATCTGGAGCTGCGTTTGTAACTGGTGGTGTGCTGTGCATCTGTTACATCCAGTGCCTGTGTAATAGACATACAAAGAGAAATCACACCCATACACTGCTCCATCTCCAAGAGAACACCTTTATTTCTGAGATCCTATGCGACTTATAAATGCTAACGTTTGGAAATGCAAGCAATAGCACAGCTTTGGTTAACATTATTTCTGATGTTTTTTCTTTGATATTCGCAAACAGAGCTTTACACTCCCATATAGTGGCTGGACTTGTTGCGTGCCTCTGTAAGCTTGAGATATAACCTTAGATAAAATCTATGGGGACTTTGCTTATGGAAAGCTGCAAGGTCTGTGGGTGTGAGCAGAGTGGAGCACCCTTTGCTCACTAGGCTTGCAAGGCAATGTTCTAGCAATGAGCTTGGACCAGAGGGGCAGATCTGGGCAGGCAGTCTTCATTCACAGTAGACTTACACCATGTGGCACCAGGGATACGTGCCCTGAGACCACAGCCATGGACATGCTCAGCCTCCTGCTTGCTTCTCTGAAGATAAGCTTCCCTCCCGCTGCTCCAACAAGAAAGAGGAACTCATGCTGTGGTTTTGCTCTCTCTGGTTTGCTGGTGAACCATATAAAGTGAATTCATGATATAGAAGTGTAAAGGGTCCAGAACAGAATGTCACAAGCAGATCCTGTGAATTCTTTCATCTGCTGCTTTTCCTTGGTACAAATTGCTGGAAATAATGCTGAAGTTTACTGCTGTGTCCTTAGAGATGTCACTTGTGTATGTTTGGTGGCCCTGCTAGGCAGGGGGGTTGGAACTACATGATCCTTGAGGTCCCTTCCAACCCGGGTGATTCTGTGATTCTGTGATTCTGTTTTGGCTCTGAGTCAATACTTTCATCAAGAAGCTCACTGATGCAGTGACACTTACAAGCTACATTAATATAAATGATCAATTTTTAGTAAACAAACAATGCTTAACTGATATCAAAAAGGCATTTTTAAAGTAGAAATATTAGAGTGGCTATGTTGCCAAAGTTGGTCTCAATTTAAAGATAACACAACAATGATACATTTAGTGACTGTACCTGCTTTATCTGAACAAATTCAAGCTTCCTTGTCTAAAGTTACGAAGAGAGAGATCTCAGCCTCCCTATTGTTTCTCTTCCATGTATAAACATAGTGCCATGTATCCAGCTAGAGTTATAGCCAGTTATATCTGCTCTGTTGTGATTTTGGTTTTCAGTCTCAGGGGCATCAGCTGGAAAAAGGACAGCTCAGTTGATGCTGCAATAGGAAATCAAAACTCCCAAACTTTTTTTTTAAAGTCTTTTATCTGTTGTGTGACTGGTAAATCTCAGTGACTTGCTCATTTCTCATCATTTCCATGTCAAAAATGAAAATATTTCTTGCCCATCCTTGTAAAGAATGCTGAAGACCAGTTGTTCCAAGCCCTTTTTTCCCCTTAACTCCTGGCCAGAATCAAGATGAAGCCCTAAAAAGGAATCATTTATCATCATAACATCCACCTGCCACTTTTCATTACTAATGTCTAATGTCCATGTATTGTTTTAGCCAGGAACAAGTGGCTTCCCTCGGATCCTCAGATCATTTCAGAAGGACTGTATGCAATAGCTGTGGTACTCAGCTTCTCCCGCATTGCTTACATTCTTCCAGCCAACGAAAGCTTCGGGCCCCTGCAGATCTCTTTGGGAAGGACTGTGAAGGATATCTTCAAGTTCATGGTCATCTTCATCATGGTGTTCCTGGCCTTCATGATTGGAATGTTCAACCTTTACTCTTACTACCTTGGTGCAAAATACAACCCTGCATTTACAACGTGAGTACTTAAGGAAAAAAGGGCTGCTCTTGTAGGGCTCTGTTCATTCTGGTTTATTGCTGCTGCTAACTCTGTCCAGGTAGCTGGGATGCTGATGAAAATTCTTCAGCTGTTAGGCGGGTGGTTGGCTAAAAGCAGAGAGGTGTCTGCACAGTGGGTGATTCCATGTGCAAACAAAAGTCCATCTCTGCAGCATACCTTTGTGTTCTCTATTCTTTTGTGATTCCACCAAACCTAAACCTCCCTTCCTCTTAGCTGCTCCCTCCCTACTTCTTGCTGGGCTTCCCACAGTGGGGGCTTTCCATCCCACACACCCACCTGTGAGGGAAGAAGAAAGCTTGGTGTGATGCTTTCCCCCTGCTGTGATCTGACATCAAGGCAGTCTCACCACACTTGTAAAGCCTGAGATGAGGAGCAGACAGCAGCTGGCGTTGGATGTGTAATTTCTCTAATGTGTCATACAGCTAGCCTCAGCTCATAGCTCCCCTAAGAGAAATGACCTTATTGGCATCATTTCTGCTCTGTGAGTGGCTGTGTCCTTCCAAAGACAGGAGCCAGTCTTACTACACTGCTCTCTTGTGCGACACATACTTTGTCCCACAACGTTTAAATTTTCTGATTGAACCAAACGTGCCTTCTGAACCTTTCTGTAACTCAGGACACACATTAATGGAAGGATTTATGAGGGCAGATGCAATTGCATTTATCTGTGCTTGGTAGTAAGAGAGAAGAAAATTGAGTGTGGGATGTGACTTGGTTCCTGTTGGAAGAGAAGATGTCCTTGAAGCACAAGAGTTAATGTGAAATTGAGTAGATGCTGTCCCTGACTGCAGCAGTTATGGTGTCCCCCAGGCAGGTTGTCAGAGCACGCGTTACAGATTCCAGTCTCTGATGCAAAAGTGATAACTGTCCAATTAACACACACAGCACAAGTGGATCTCTGGGTCTTTTGATGGAAATAATGAGGAAACATTGCCTGGAATGGTGACTGCTCACCAGAGGAAAGATTGCTTGAGTGCCTGAGGACTGTCTGAGCTGAGGAGAGTCCTGTCAAAAGGCACTGCTTGTCCTCCTTAATGTCAGCCTTGTGATCACTGATCCTGGAGGGACTTCATGGAGTTACAAAGCAAATTTTCCATGAAAATGAATTTTCCTTTTAATAGCTTGGAAAAGACTTAAAATAAGCCTGATTTTCCTCTGATTATATAAACATGCAGAAGCGTTAAAGGATGATGAGTGAAAATGAGCCCTTCATCGCATGAAACAGAGTGTAAATTAACATTCATCCTCAAAATCCTTCTCAGATGTCTTATTCAACAAACCAGAAACCTGCAGTCCCACACAGTTTTGGCAAGCTAGGAATGGTACATTGGCAAAGGGGCTAACCCTCACAACATTTCCTTGTTTGCTTTTCTTGAGCAGCCTGTGAACCATCCTGAGCATGGTGCTTTCCTGCTGCCATTCACTTATTTGTGACAAGGGGGGAAGTCTCAATGTGTTGTCAGAATTTGCTGAGGCGAAGAGAAATGCTCACTTTGAACTCGTAAGCATTTTGTGATTTCACTGACTTCTCTGAATGCACCTCATAGCAGACGTCGCAAATTCCAATGCGTTAAATTTTACAGAAATTAAATTTCCTACTCAAAACGATGGCTGTTTTACTATGGAACCTGAGTTGGATATCTCTTGGCTAATTGTGACAGAAGAAAAAACCTGCTGGATTTGCACGTTAATCAGACTGGCCGGTTCCAAAGGGCACTGAATTGACAGCTCCCTCTGAACATCGCAGTGGATATCCCCAGTGATACCCTCACAGACAAGGAGCTGCTCACGGAAATAACACTGGATTTCAAACAACCACAGCTCCCCAGGACAGTGTGTAGGAGGAGAAAAAAAATGAATCTTTGTCCAGGTATCATTGAGAGGGAATTGAATGCTTACATCTAATAATAATCCATGAATGCTGGTGTAGCTTGCACTTTTGGAATCCCCTTCATTTTGCTTTCTGCAGAGCAGGCACACAGCACCCCGGTGGCCTCTGAACCATGTTATCATGCAGTTTCTGTCAGTTCTTCAATTTTAATGCTCTTGATGCAAAGGAAATGAAAATGCAGCGTGCTTTTCCTCACGCTGTTGAACACTGAGATTATTTAGCTAACTGTGGTATACTTCCAAATTTTTCTTTTTCAGTTCTTCAGTGCTGAAAAGTTGACAGCTTTCAGGACTCTTGCGGCCGACCCCAGCACTGTTTATGTGTTTATTGTATGCTGTGTACAGAACACAGCTCTCCAAACAGCCCGTAATTATGAACATTCTATGCAAACAAAACTGAAATGGAGGCAAGACTGATTGTGTTCGTCTTGCTTTTTGCATCGCAAATCAGGCTGAAGTCTGCAGCATGAGGGTTTCTGTCTGCTTCTCCCCAAGGGGAACTGTGACTCACTGCTCAGTGCCAATGTTACTTAAAGGCTTGGAGGCTTTTTTCTTCTTATTTTGCTCTGTCAAAATATGATATTTTTGTGGATTATATTGACTGCATTGTTTTTCTGGCAATGTTAAAGCTCTACCAATCAATTTAAGGAAATAACTCAGTCTGAAAGGATGCCTTAAGCTTTCTTAAAGGGGAGGATGCAAGACTGACATGAAATCATGTCCTCGCTGTGATCTTTTTTGATGAACAGCACACAGCTGCTTAGAGAAGCAAGGAAAATCTGAAACTAGATGATTGCCTGTGGTCTGTTTTCTTCCGTAATGCAAAATCTTTGTTTAACTTCATCAAGACTGCCTATTGAAGCAAAATTCTTTCTGCTCCCGCTACAATTCCTGGCCCTTCTGCAGTGAGGAGAGCACAGCATATCCATGCCAGCAAGCAGCACCACTCAATTTGTCCCTGCCAGCTCCCCCTGCTCTCCGGAGTGGTTAAGATGGACAGGACTTTTGATCTCTTCCCTCATTTGTTTACCTTTGGGAAGGATAAAGCACTCTGTCTCTTTGCAGGAGGGGGGCAAATAGCATAGTTGATGCTGACGAGACACATCAACATCTTGGAAATTTCAAAAAGTTTGCTCCAACTGTCTTCATCTCATGTTTTAGTGAGACACTTTCAAAAAGAAAAGAATATGTTCCCTGTGACCTGTGCCAAATCTTTTGCAAATTGGCAGTAGTGAGAGGGGAGGAACCATCCAAGTTTGGTACAGACTGCCCAGAAAAGCTGTGGATTCCCCATTCTCCAGGCTGGAGAGCTGTTGGTTGGCAACCTTGCCCATGGCTGGGGGCTTGGATCTTTAAGGTCTCCACCAACGTAAGCCATTCTGTGTTTCTCTGATGCAGCCTCGTCAGAAGGTGGGGATGATCTAGTACCAGGTCCCTTCAGAATCATTTCCTCTGCAAGTGAGAGTGCTGTGTCTGTCTGTAGGCATTGTTGAGCGTTGTGTTGGGATGCCATTTCTCCTGCCACCCTCCTGCTCCCATACCCATTCTTCTTCCACTTGATGCTAGGATTAAGGACTTTGGACATTTGCAGAGGAGCACGATGGCTGTGCTGGAGCCCTCAGCTTCTCGGGGTGGCCAGGGCCAGCCAGTAATTTACTTTTCAAGGAGAACCTGACACCTCTCCAGAACAAAGGTTAATGCTTAAACTGCAGAAAAGGAGCGGAATTGACATGTTGTGTTAAAAACCACCGGCAGGGTGGAAAACTAAGGGAACCTTTCCAAATTAAAAAAGGGAGGTTAATAGCAGGGTGCAGCTGGGATCCAGGCTGGTGGTTACGGTTTTTATTAGTTTGATAAGTGACTGATGACAGGTTTCAAAGCCAGTGGTTTTTGGTGTTGTACAAGTTCTTTAACTAGAAATACAATGTCTAATAGAATAGGAGCTAAGCACATTTCTAACATAAAAGTGAAGGATATCTGACATGTTAATGTCAGCTGTCCTTTGCTGCGTGTGATGGGAGGAGATGAGAGCAGAGTGAGGAGAGGAAATACCCTCCAAGTAGAAAAGAAGCGGTGCTTTTTTGCAGCAGTCATAGCTCGTCCTACAGGTAAATGTCTGCGTAATATGCCAGCCTCATTGCAAAACAGCAAGGAGGCACAAACAATTAATTTATCTGAGTAAAATGAAGACTGAATAGAAAGCCACATTTCAACTGATGTTGTGTGACACCTATTTGGAACACCGCTCAGGATCATCTCCCACAAGTCAGTGCGGTTATGCTGGATGAGAATGATCCTGAATATTTACTGCAGTCTTACTATGATATGCAAATGGAGGAGGGGATGCCAGGAGTTGTGATGGGAGATAAGAGCCAGTTTGCTGTGGCTTCCCTAGGTCATGTTCTAGTTTGTGTCTATAATCTGTTTTTACAAACAGATCTTGCTGGATTAGTCACCCTAGTAAAAATAATTAAAAGATCCAGAAAATAATTAATGGCTTTGTTTTCTTAGAGGGCATTTACCTCCTGGGATGCGAGTAAAGGCATTATTTTCTTTCAACTTGAAATCTAAGCAAAGTTCTTACAAAACATACCAACATTCTTCCTCGTCCTCCTCCTTCCTTCATTTCTGTCTGGGGCTGCTTTCTTTCTGCCTGGTGCAGCTTTGACTCCTCTGAGTTAAGCTCTGTTTTTGATCCACTAGTTCACTTGCATTTTTTCAATTTCTTTGTCATTACCTTATTCTCCTTTTTCTTTTCAGCGTTTTATTTTCCTCTGATTCCTTTCTACCTCCAAGTAAATGTAATAATCAAATTTAAATGCTCCTGTAGTATCTTCTATTACTCCTTAATTTCAAATTGTTTAGGAACTTAAGTTATTATTTTTTATTTTTTTACAAGTCTGAGTGCCTGAATTGTGTGTGGTCCCAAAGCAGGATAGGAAGAAAATCAGACCATGGGATGACTTTATTTGCATGGTGCACTGGTTACATTCACGCCACAAGTCAGAACTTCTCACAGATTCCTTTTGTGCAGAAAATGATGCTTTTCTTCTGCCCTGGAAATCCCTTATAAGGCAGTCAAGATAAGTTCCCTCTTCCTTCTCCCAGGTAATCTCTGCTTGTCTTCTCCAGATGAGGAATAGGTGGTGAAGTAAGAACTTCTGAGTCCCTTACGAAAGGTTCCAAACTGCAAGCGGCCCATAGAGGAGTCCTTAATAGGGACAGAAAAGCCAAATGACAAATAACACACCTGAGAAGAGCAGATGGAGCTCATAAGGGGTCGCTGCCACTTTATAATATTCATAGAAGTATTATTTCTTTATTAGATTAGGACATTTAATCTGGCATCTCCCAGGGTGATGGATAACTGCTTGTAATTACTGTGCCAAGGCATCATATTTATATTGGTGGGTTGCCACTTTTATTATTAAGCATTTGTTCTGGCTGATTTGCTACCAACTCTATAAAGCGACCATTTTCTTTATTTTTAGGGTAGAAGAAAGTTTTAAAACCTTATTCTGGTCAATATTTGGCTTATCTGAAGTGATATCTGTGGTGCTGAAGTACGATCATAAATTCATTGAGAATATTGGATATGTACTCTATGGAGTATACAACGTGACCATGGTGGTGGTGCTGCTTAATATGCTAATAGCCATGATAAACAACTCTTATCAGGAAATTGAGGTAAGATAAGAAACTGGGTTATGAACACAGGATGCATAATTATTATCGATAATGAAAATGTTAAAAGAACAAGGAAGTTGTTGTTTATTCCGTATGCAAAATTGGAGCACCATTGAAATACAATTCTTACAGAGAGTCAAGGCCATATCAGTCCCAAACTAGGGCTGAATTAATAATTAACAGTGAATCATTTCTATAAAAACTTCAACTTCCTTGTCTTTAATGACCATCTGTGAGCAATCTCTATTTCCTTTGCGTGTATTTAATGAAAGCAGCTTGTAGTAGTTTTTACTGCCTACATTGGTTGCAATAATTTATCCACCTTAGCTATGTTATTTCCTTATGAGAAATCAAGCAATATTTCACCTGTTTCTTTCCCTATTTTCTACTGGCTAAACGTGCAGGCCCATTTAGGGCTGCAGCTCATAGATACACATATAAAAATTCCTTATTTTCCAATTACCAGGTATGAAATCTTGGTATATATTTTTTGTTTTCTTTTGAGGCACCCCTGGGCCCACAAATCATAATGGCATGAGCAAAAAAACAAAACAAAACAAACAAAAAAAAACCCAAAACTCATCAAACAAACAAACAAAAATCCCCACCACCAGCATATAAAGGATATGAATACAACCATCACAGAACATGAATAAGTATCTGCAGAAAGCGTTTACAGGGTTCACCCAACTTTGTTCAGTAGCACTGGTAGAAGCAGGCTGGGTTTGCTGAGTGCTTTGGACAAAAACAACTCCCTGCTAACATAAAAGAAGAAAAAGAAAGGATTAATATTTGGACAGTGTTAATGCTGATTCACCTCTTTCTTCCGATTTGCTAAATGTCAAGTTTCTGTGGCTGGATTTGTATTAATTATTCGCTCTAATCTTCCCTCAGAACCTGACACTGCAAAAGGCCACAGCTGAAATTATTTTCTGACTGTAATGTCTGATTCCTCCATGTACTGTAGTGCAAACAGAGCTCTATCTCACGTGTGCTGCAACTGAGTCTAAATGTCAGAGGGATCTTACATGTGCTCTCTGCCCTGGAAGCTTTCTTGTGTGCAGAAGGTATTTTCCCAAAGTTTTCTAATCACTTTGAATCAGAATGGCTTGGTTTGGAAAGGATCTTGAAGGTCTCTGAGTTCCAATCTCCAAACCTTAAGATGAAGCAGTTTCTACTGAATCGAGATCTGCTTCTGAAGGAGTATCAGATTCTTAATGCATTTCTAGTTTATTGTAGTAAGCAGAGATTTTCTTGTGAGTTTGCAGAAGAGAAATATCAATAAATGTCTCAATAGGTGGCCTATGTTAGTTTTCTGCTCTATATTCAATATTCCATGATGAACAGTTACCTGGAAAAGCCTTGAACATCCTTCTTGGCTGCCTGGAACTTTTCAGAACTTTGTTAAAGAATATTTATAACTATCAGCAAGAGAAACAAATGTGAGCTATTCCATCCAGAGACCTGGGAGAAATCTAGTAAATCTCACACTAATTCCTCTAAATCCTCAGCGACAGAGAGATTAAGGAAAGACAAAGTCATCCTACTGACTAAATAGAAAGTCCTTTCTGTTTATCTGACAACAGCAGTGTCCATAATGACAGAGGATGGTAATTACTTAGGAATTAAATTCCATTGCAATCAATGGGAAAATGCTTTTCTGTTAGCCAGTTTACAAAATAGTATTCTCGTGCTTTCCCTTGAACATCTCTTTTCAGCTACTTCTGGTTTTCTTCTGTTTATCCCTCAAGTATTAATGCTTCCTGACCACTTTCTATTTATGGAAGGAAAAAAAAAAATCCTTCTGCCAGCCAGAAACACTTCCATCATTAGCTCCTTAGCTATTTAGCAGAAAAGCCTTAAAAATGTTAACAAATTATTTCTACCATAATTCAGCTTTAGGCTTTTGTGAGGTTCGACCCCAAAACAATGAGAAAGCTGAACAGCGGTGAATGTTGCTCTGTTGGCAGAAGTGTCACTGCAGCTGCAACAGAATTAAGCTCAGTTGTGGTATGCTAGTTTTTGACATGGTTTTCGAGGTAGGAATTAATCAGAGGTTACTGATTTCAGCAGAACATGGATGTATGTGAGTATAAGGAACCAGAGGACCATGTTTCTATCTGTGCTGCTGCCCTCCATATAAACTGCGAGACAACAGCTGTATAGCAGCTGTATCCCTCTGTTTCTTTGCCTGATGGATGGATCTGACCATCATCCTCTGTAAATGCCAAGCAGATCCTTAAAGGGTGTGCTAGCCTTAACCTTGTCCTTGAGTTTGGAAGTGACCCTGGCCCATCCTGATGCTTCATAAAGGAGATTCACAGGCAGTGAGTTGGTTTTTTTTTTTTTTCCTACAGCTGCTTAAGTGGCAGGTGGTGAATGGTAGGAGAAATAAGGTGCATTGATCTGGGAATATTATCGTGGTGAACGCAATCAGGATTGACCAGGAAGTAATCTGATGATAGAAGAAATCAGTGATCTAGCCTCCTCTATGGGTGATTCCTGGCCAGTGCAGTGATAACAGTTACCTGGCAATTAGCACTGCAGTTAATCAGAGGGAATTGTTGTATTTGTAACTTCTCCTTTCCATGACTCTATGCATGTTTTAATACAGATAACTTACCAGCAAAGCATCAGCACTGGGTTGTTACTGAAAGACAAGCCCTTTGCTGTCTAATGAAAAAATAATGTTTGAAGGAAGGTTAAAGGAACCACACTATTATGCAAAACACCTTCAACAAACCTAGTTACTGGCCACTGCTATAAAGCTGGCTGCAGCTGTGCTCCCATGTTCAAATGAGACAAAGAAACGGGGCAAAAAATGCCACTCTGAAACGATTTGCTCTTCATTATCTCCCTCGTTGCATCACAGCTCTGCTCCAGCCTTCTGCGCTCCCACCTCTCCTCCAAAATGCCTCTTTGTGACACTGTGCTGCGTTTCTGCAGCCTTTGCTGGAGAGAAATGTGAACTTATTTGTATCCCATCTTACGCTGACCTTTCTGGCTCATGGCATTTGCCTGGCTTAGAAGGCAAAAACGGTTCCCCTGTTCCCAACTTCTTCTTAATAAGCAGTTTGTAAAATTTTTCTGTCAAGCAGAAATAGGTGACATTCAGTCTGGTATTTGGAGGATTTGCACTCTCTGTTTATTCATTTCTTTGTTTTTTTCCTTTTTTTTGAGATGACAGAGAAACCTAAGAAGATAACATTACTTTCAGGTGTTCTTTTAGCTGATTCTTGTTAAATCCTGCCTTTATGTTTGTTCTCATGATAGCTGAATTCCTTTCTTTGTGCTAATTATGCATTTGGGTGTTATTTTCTCTTCCCTTTCCAAGGAGGATGCAGATGTGGAGTGGAAGTTTGCACGTGCCAAGCTCTGGCTATCCTACTTTGATGAAGGAAGGACTTTACCTGCTCCCTTTAATCTAGTGCCAAGCCCTAAATCATTTTATTATCTCATACTGAGAATAAAAATGTGCCTCATAAAACTCTGCAAATCTAAGGCCAAAAACTGTGAAAATGATCTTGAGATGGGAATGCTGAACTCCAAACAACGGGTATGTTGCATCTTTGCTTTTTGCCTTCTGTGTAGAGTGATAGATCCATGGCTGCAAGGACCTTCTGGTGGGGTTGCATCGTTTGCAGGTTGATCAGGGACAGTGCAGTCTCTTGCTCAGCGTTGTTACTTGTCTTATATCAGCACCTAGAGGGTCCTCCCAGACTTGCAGCCTCATTGTACCGAGCACTGTTTGTACACCTGTGACAGAGCAGCTCTTATAAAAGGAGACACTTCTATAATGGGGTTTCCCAGAGCCTAATAGACAAAGTCAAAGGGCAAGGGCAGAAGCACAAATAATATCCCATCTTATCTGGCTCCTAATCTGCCAGCAGGCTTTCATGCCTCTTCAAAACATGCTCTTGCCTTTAAGTGATTTCCCAACTAATTTTAGTGCCATTACGTTAACCACCATATTTACTGCCATTCCAGGTTTGGGAACAAGTTTCCAAGCAGTTACTAATAACACTTCCTAAATGCCTACAGCTGCAATGAGCAACCCCTCTCTTACTTCTGCCTAGTAATGAGTAGCACTGATGGGCAGATCCTGCCTCTTCCATCTCTTCTTTGGCTACCTGAAGTAGAAATGTGCTTTGGTAGCACTGGGGTTGTGTTCCCTGTCAAAAACAAGCATCTGTCTTCTAGCCGTTACCAGCATCCTGATTAATAATATAATTATTTCTTAAGATCAGTGAGGCAGTTGGGAATAAAAAGCCCTTAAATAGGGACTTCCCTATACACTTGCATGCAATTGTAAGAGTCTGTGTGTGTATTAGCTCCTTTGAGTCTATAATATGTAATTAATTCCTTTGAGTACTTCTTTATTTCTTTAGCGTTTGGACCAAAAAGTTCATAGGTGGATATGAGTGTCACATAAATCTGTAATGAATGTTGGTCTTCTGAAAAGACTTTTGGAAGATTCTAGTTGGGAAAAGCAATAGCTTTGTTGTCATCTGATAAAAAAAATAAATAAATACTGTTCTATTTTTAAAAAGGGTTCAGATAAAAAAGTAGCAAATTGTACTACTGTTTTCAAAGAACTGCTGAAAATCAATCCCATCTCAGAATTTTTTATAGCTGCATTGACTTGTTCTCTACAAACCTATTTATTTTTTAAAAACTGTGCTCTCCATTGGTAATCACCAATCTAAGATGAATACATTTCACTTCTCTTAGCACCTCCTTAACCAGAACTGGTCTGAGAGTACTGTTTGTGCCTTGACAACTTAAAATCCTTTCTTTTTCCCAGGAGTTTTTGTTTTTCAATTCTTTTCCTTCTTTTGGAACCTTTTTAGAACAGAATGCACTGACTTTTATTACACCCACACATTTAATCATTTCCTACCGGATTTATAAAACTCCCTTAAGCTTGGGGTCATTCGCATGATAGAAGCTATCACTGGCTTAATACATCTCAATGTTTTATCGTTACAGAAAGTTCGTTTTCAGTCTGGCAGTCTGCATTCAGAAAACTTTTCAGTGAAGAATGCTTATAACAAGCCCACAAGATACCAGGTAATCACAGAGCGGGGCAGAGGTGTGCTGGTGTACTGCACTGCTGGGCCGTATTGCTCGGGTCCAGTTGGTGCCATCCTGTGATGTGCTGAGCTGTGGCTTAGTGCGGTCACAGCGCTCAGAGGCAAATGCGGCGTATCATCCATGGTAATAGACGTGGTGTTAATATAGGCCACGCTAATTAATTCCTCTCATGGGTATTAAGCTTCATAGCAGAACGGTCATTCAAGCTTTAATCTCCTACTCTCGCACTGGCGGCGTTTCATTGTCACGACACCATGCCACCCCTCCAGCCTTTCCATTGCCATTTGCACGTGCTTTCTCTGTCAGTAACTTGTCCTACACTGCAATGTGGTATGGTCCAAAAACACAGGTAGCTGATGTGACACCATCAAGATTGAAGGGAAGAGAGATGATTGTCCTTCTCAAAGCAGCACTTTGGCATTTCTGACATTTTCCTGTACGTTCAGACCCACAGGTAGCAGAAAGATGCTGCTATAACTTCTAAATGAGATCTCCTAATGTTTGTGGTAAATTAAGCCCTTATTTCTAGGGTTGAGAAAGCCAAAAACAGCTGTGAAAATAAGTGGAGTTTTCAAAGAAAGGCAGGCATGAATCCTTGTTGTTTTCACTTGATTTTGCTCCTACTGGACTTGCCTTCAAATGATCTTAGAAAGTGCCAGTTGCTGTAGAAAGAAATTGTCAAATAACGCAAGAAAGGTGCAATAATCTTCATTATCTAAATATAAAAAAAAGAACAAACACTTTGATAGTCTGTACAGCAAATTTTCTTCTGCAGCTGGGAAGATGTTTGAAGTAGTGGCTTCTCTGCATGTTTCCTTTAGTGAGGCTTATCAGGTGAAGTAGACCTGCACTTTATGTAGCTGTAGTATGGTGCTCTCGAGGGATACCAAGAGATGTGCAGAACTACATCTGCAGTAGCTTGAGAAATAGGACAAATAGCTGCCATGATGTGGGGATAAACTAGTCTGAGTAAAAGAATGTCCTCATCAAACCCTCTTCAGATGAGGCTTTGAATGGAGCACTGCTAAAATGCTGTGTTAAGTTCACGTGTTTGTCTCCACTCCCAACACTGGCAGTCTGTCATGCTGTCAGCAGCACCTTCCTCTATAGAAGTCAGGAAAGGATTTGTCAGGGAAATTAGAAGGACTGGTTGGTAATTTTAGAAGCTCAGGAATGTATTTATTTGATGTTTGGTGTGATAAAATAGCTGCAAGACATGAGCACATGTGATAGCTCATTCTGGAGCTCTTGTACTGCCCAATGGGTAATGCGTGGGATTGAGACCAATAGTATTTAAACTGTTTCAAGTTTGGCCTTCATTATCACGATGCTGTCTGGAAGCTTTATTTGTCACTTCCCTGTAATAAACAGGATTGTTTTGCTGAGAAGCTATTCCGTTTATTGAAGCTGTAAGGAACAGTGCTGGAGAGAAGGAGAAAAGCAATATGGAGCAAAAACGAATAACTTTCCTAAGCCTACTGGCTGAAACATCTACGAGGTGACTAAGTAGCCTCATGTTAGGGATGGCCATGTTCTTAATTTAGTTTCTGTAGACAAATCTGGCTGCATTCTGTTCTTGATGGATCAGGTGGGCACCTTCAGGCTTTTGGCTTCCGTGTGCAGCAGTTAATAGAGGACTGTATTTGAGTAGTGGCCTTCAAAAATACCAGCTGCATTGGAAGTGGAGTAGATAGATGTTACCATATTTTTCCAGATAGTAATGATATTCAATGTTTATGTCAATTCCTTGTTTTATTCTAAATTTCCTGTCATCTGCTCTGAAACAAACAACAAAAATCATATGTCTTGGATCTAGGATTTCCCTACTTTCCCCAAACATTACTTCATTTATGTTTTCCCAGGTGCCAACCCTACCTCCCTCTGGATTCTACTACCTTGGCCATCTTCAACACACCGTACGTGCGCTGTGCCTCACCTCTGTTGCCTTAACTGACCCACCCGGTTAGCCAGATGCCTCTTTCAGACAAGGACAGAGTCTTTAAATCCCACATTCCATGGCTACATGACCTTTATATAAATGAGTGGATCCTTTGATTGCACGTGCATTTCCTGCCGTTATAGCTGGCTTCTGGGGAGAAAAAAAAAAAAAAAAAAAAGCAAGTGTATCGATTCCTTAATTCGAGTTTCACAGTCTTTGCAGTGATTTTAAGTGATGTTCAAAGCAGACGTGATTGCTTTGCGAATAGGTGAGCTCACGCTGAGAGGTTTTCCCTTAATAGTGGCCATCTGCTCAAGAAAAGGCATTTGCATATCCTCTCTTGGATGTTCATGCTCTCTTCTGTTTGCAGAGGATGCAGAAAGCCCTGAGGGCACAGAACTAGAATGTGTCACTCTTTTGTCTCAAAGAGAGCCCTTTGACCTCATTCTAGAAGTAGTCCAAACAGCACAAGGCTTTTCTATTTTCCTGTTTTAAGAAGCTGCTCCCAAGCGAGAGAGCATGTCCTGCCTTAGCTCCTCCCCTGAGACTGAGCTACGGCCATCAAGCATTGCAAGCCCAAGAACTGATATAAACATCCAATAAGCAAATTTAGGCATATTAGTTATCTCTGATAGAGCAGCACTTTTTACATTTCTCACAGTTCGAATGCTTTTTTCCCCACTGATGAGCATCTTTTCTTTAGCAAAGAGCTGGCAATGATGTAGGCCTTCTGCTGTAAGCCACTGGGCAGCCTGAAAATGACAGTTACTTTCCTGCTACATAAATAATGTGTTTTTGAAAAAATATCACATTGCAAGCTCGCATCCATCATCACCTCTTACTGTTCCCATATATGCTGTTCCTTACTAAGTCATCCCCCATTTTATAAATCTACATGATGCTGTTTTTACCCTATGTATGTCCCATAACATCCACCATTTCTCTCCAAATTGTCTCATTCTCCATTTTTGTTTTCTCTTTCTCTGTCCTAAGTCTGTTCTCTCTCCTCAACCCCAAGTTCCAAAGCAAGTATTTCTGTTTAATTTTGGGTTAGATATTCAATTCATCGCCATGAGTGAGTTTGTTACCATCATTAACAACTTATTTCTTCCAGTAAAGTTTATTTTATAGACACATTAAATAGCAGCTTGTTCAAGAAATGGTTTGAGTCCCACTTCTTAAATTGCTGTTGGATCATCTATGTTTTCATTATGTTTGTGGGACATACTCTGCACTCAGATGCATGCCACAAACAAAATGTGGGCTTATTATGGAATGGCAATCAATCAACTACTTCAATACGAAGTTCACAAGATAAAGTAGAAAATAAATGAGAACTCAATGATAAAAATCCCTTTGCCTCCTCTGAAGCCAGGCTTCATCCATAGAGAAGTCAGGTGCTTGAATTTTTCAGAATAAGTCGAGAATTGAGGAGGTGTGGATAAACTCATGTTGAGTGTCTCTGTTCTCTTTTCAGAAAATAATGAAACGCCTGATTAAGCGCTACGTGCTGAAGGCTCAGGTGGACCGAGAAAATGATGAAGTCAATGAAGGCAAGTGGATTTTTGTTATTGTCACAAATTAGAGCATGTTACTGCTATTGATATCTCAAGTAAAAGAATTGAGCTTAGAGAACACCCTTGGTGGAGAGGAAGCATGCCTCAGGCTCACATGTAGGAAAACGATGCTGACTCAGAGCCACCTTGCTGCTCTGAAATGTTCCTTAGCAGAAAACATGGATCACAGAGTCTGTCTGTACAGCGTCCTGCTTTGCCTCATAGCATTACATGTCCTTCCTTTGCAAAACCCAGGGTATTACCCATACTTAGCCTTGTCCTGGGGCCTAAGTAAAGTAGTTATTGGCTGTACTGCCCCTGCCCACCACAAGGACATTGCTGGAACTGAATAAGGATATACGCTGCCTTGGTATCTTGTAGTATTTGTAAGCAGATGGAAAAGACATTCCTTGTAATGTCTTTTCCCTGCTATCCTTCTGCCAACATCCCATGCAGGCAAAGGTCTATACATGGAGAGCAAACAAGAAGAAAGATGAATTTTCCATACACAGTTGTTATTGTTGTTGGTCCCTCTACTGCAAGTACAGGTAATTTCCTATAAGCCAAATATTAAATGCATAAAAGCAGTAACATCATAGAGAGTGCCACAAATGCCCAAGACCTAGCTCAAGTAAATAGATAATTTCTTCTGTCATAAAATTATAGGTGTGATTCCTTTAATATTGCTAACAACAGTGTATTGCTCCCTTTAGGAGAACTTAAAGAGATTAAGCAAGATATTTCTAGTCTCCGATATGAACTCCTGGAGGAGAAGTCCCAGGCTACTGGTGAGCTGGCAAGACTTATACAGCAACTGAGTGACAAATTTGGGAAGAACTTAAATAAGGACATTTGAGGGTGAGCACAGAGGAAAGCAACTGGTTTTCTAAACATTATTCAGTCTCAACCAGCATCTTAAGAGGACAAAAACAGCGCAAAAAATAGGGACCAGGCACTCATCTTCTACGAATTGGCAGTGTCAGTTGGAGCACTTTGCATTACTCCTGTGTTTGGTGAATTTCCAGTTAAATCTTTTATGACACAAAATAACTTACTGGTAAAAGCATACGCCCTTCAATATCAGAAACAAATGAACTGTAGGGAACGCACCTTTTAAAGGCAAAAAAGCCAGATCTTCATCCACCTGTCTGCAGTGAACTGTGCTCATTTACCTTAACTCTGTTGACCAGGAGTTGGTGAAGGCTGAAGGAAAAACATGCCAAGCATATTCCTTGAGAATTTAAAAGAATCCTGTCCTTGGGTGTGTACTCTCCTTTTATGTTTACATGGGCATCCACAGAGGTAACTTTGAACAGCATGGTGGTTAATGAAAAGCATATGAGAAATTGTCTGCTGAAAGGCCAGTTGTCAGATACTTTTCAGATTGGATGAGAGAGTTGGAACCATGAACAAAACTTGTTGGGTAAAAGGTCCTTCATCCCTTTGCTGGAACCTAATAAAGGGATTCCAAGCCAAAAACTCCTTTCTGCCTTTTCCAGCTGTTTTAGCCAACCCACTAACAGCTATGGTCCCTTCAAACATATACCAAGCCTCTCTTTTGTCCATAGATGATCCCAGCTACAACAACAGCGTACAGAAATATTCAGTGAAAATCCACAGCAGAAGTAACATATTTTGTGCTTATGTGTTCAGGACAAGGAACAGCACTAATGGATGACAGCAACTCAACTCAGCTGCTCTGCTTTTGGGTTCCAGAGTTCAAACAGCAAGCCATAGCATGAGGTAAACTATGAAAAACATACCCCAGGAGCTTCAAATCTTTGAAACCGTAGGAAAAGGCTTCATTTCCAATGAGGACATGGTGACAAATAAAAAATAAAAAGAAGAATGAATTGTTGAAGAGATGATTGTTCTGAGTTATGTGTTTGGCTCTTCTGGAGGACTTGGAAGGAATTAAAACCAGTTCCAAGGTCGTAATACAAACACTCAGAGTGCATTTTTACAAAGGGTAAGCAACGAGTCGATGGAAAGCAACTGAAGACTTGGATTGCTTGGGTTTCTACATTTAGCTACATGATTTCAATATTTAAAGCACACCTTACAAGTTGGGAACCGCTGAACTGTACTGTTTGTTCACAAGGTACACCTATGAGATGACCATCGCCTTTAGGTATCATAGAATCATAGAATCATAGAATCACCAAGGTTGGAAAAGACCTAAAAGATCATCCAGTCCAACCGTTCACCTATTCCCAATAGCTCCTACTAAACCATGTCCCTCAATACAACATCCAGTCTTTCCTTGAACACCCCCAGGGTCGGTGACTCCACCACCTCCCTGGGCAGTCCGTTCCAGTGCCTGACCACCCTTTCTGAAAAGTAATACTTCCTCATGTCCAGCCTGAATCTCCCCTGCCGTAGCTTGAAGCCATTCCCCCTGGTCCTATCACTAATGACACGAGAGAAGAGGCCGACCCCCAGCTCACTACAGCCTCCCTTCAGGAAGTTATAGAGAGCAATGAGGTCTCCCCTGAGCCTCCTCTTCTCCAGGCTGAACATTCCCAGCTCCTTCAGCCTCTCCTCATATGGCCTGTGTTCCAGACCCCTCACCAGCTTTGTTGCCCTCCTTTGAACACGTTCCAGGGCCTCAATATCTTTCTTGCAGTGAGGGGCCCAAAACTGGACACAGTACTCGAGGTGCGGCCTCACCAGTGCTGAATACAGTGCTGAATACAGTGCTGAATACAGCTGAGCAGATACAAGCAGAAGCAGAAGGTGACCCGTGATCAGTTCTTAAGTGCCAGATGAGAACACAGATAGCCTAATAGAATCATAGTTATATTTGTACAAAAACGTTGAGGAAAAAAAAAAGACAAAATAAAAAAGTGTACTGTACGTAGATCTGTTTAGAGAAAAAGCAAAATATTGTATTTTTACCTTTAATAAGATTATCTTGTATACTGTCATATTTTTACCTAAGACCAGGAAAAAAAAATAAAATTACCTCATACTATTTTGTTGTACACTCAGTGGAATACTTGCCTGATCTTTTGGGTATCCTGAACATTTTGTTGCTTTTCTGCTGTGTTAACAGTGAAACCATCCAAAGAAGAAATTTCTGCCATAAAACTTCTGAAATTTGACAGAGTCAAAAGGCAAAACTTCAAGTATATCTCAAGGGAATGAACTTAGAGAATGGGGATTTCTGACAACAGCCTGTAAACGTGTCTCCTTATCAGTGGTGCTTCATTTGAAATACTATCAGTATTAACACGTTTCTAAAACTAATGTGGGAAATTGCTACTTTTGCATGATGGTTCTTGCAGAGTAGTGTTATGATGAACCACTTAGAAGACAACATCTATCACAGAGCACCAAATGCTGGCACAAGATGGTCACTACATGTCATGTTTGTGGGAATGGTAGCCCACTTGTCTCTTTGGCCTGTTTTCCTCTGCTTAAATTGGAAAATGGTGCTGATTTAACCTATTCTACTTTCTCCATGAGAAGATGGAATATCTTTCATGGCAATACTGCTATATTTCCCTACCAACCACTGTATAAAACTCATTTCAACTTTGATAAAAAGCCCTGTCTGAAAGATTTGTCTCATTACAACTCTATGGCTGGCTCTCGATCCAGGAATTGCTTCACCCTTCCCACTCAGTGTTTTAACATCTCCTAGGAATGCAAGTAGAATTCGTTAATGCTAAGGAAGTTATATTAACCATAATTTCCATTTCTCATTGTACTACTTATTGAGTTAGATAAGAAAGGTAAGTGGAAATGCAATGATACACTTACATTTTGCATATTTAGATGTAATGCGATGCTCCTAAGGTCCTGTGATGCAGAAGGAAGTGTTCTCCTGGTGCTGAGTATCGCATCTGTGCATGCTGTGGTCAGCACGAATGGCAACGCAGCATGAGGAGCTCTGTAGAGTGATGTAGGGCACAGCCAAGTCCCATCAGCTGCCCTGAGAATGGTGGGGTGAGCAAAGCAGCACAGCCCTGCTCTGCATGCAGGAATTTGCTATGAAAGAGCATCACGTTTTCTAGAACTTCAAAAGGAGACTGAAAGAAGTACAGAGAAAAATGCAGTTTGAAAACTGTGCTTCTTCCCCTTTTAAGCATTTACATTCCATGAACTATCCAGGCACTGAGGTTCTTTGTATTAATATTCATGACAAGCAAAATCCCACTTCTCCAAAGCACTTTTCTCATTCGGTCCCAGGAATACCAGCAAGAAAGCTGCATGCTATGTATTCAAGTGCTAGGAGCAGAAATGATGTTAAATTCATTGCATGGTTTATTCTCCAAACTCTGTTTACAAGAAATTAAAGTTAAGAACCTCACTAAATGATCCCTGAGAGAAGTCAGGGATTTTAGAGAGGAAATATCAGAGCAGCTGGGACCCCGAAAGGACAAAGTCTGGGGTGTGCAGCCCCCTATGCCATCCCCCATTTTCAGTGGCAGGCTGGCTTGAAATATGGGGGTTCTATTTCTTGAACAAATTCACAGTGCAAAGGGATATCACTTTGGCCAAACTGTATAAATGGTTAAGATATTTTATGGGAAATATGTTAGGGCTCACCAGTGAGCATCGTCCAAATCTGCTTAATGCTGCAAACCCAGCAGACCAATCAAACTGGAAGTTGGACAAACTGGAAACAAAGCCATCAACCTGCCAGCATTGATGCGCTGACTGCCCCAGTTATTCAGATGGTGGTTTCCTTCCTTGCATCAGTGCATGCTAACAGAAAGGAGACAGCAGCAGAAAGCATTAGCATGCATTTAAGCAGGTGAACTGCAGAGCTTTCAGCCAGCAATCCCTGTAGACCAGAGATAATACTGAATACAGAGCAAATACTGAACCAAAGGAGATGCCAGGGGGTTTCTGGCACTTCCAGAGAGCCAAAGAACCTGGCCTAACTGCATAAAGGAGGCACTGAGGACACAGCAGAGGACAGCCCATCACTGCACCACAGGCAGGCTTCATATTGATACTGAGATGTCTTCACTACAGTTAAATCAGTGCAAACAGAAAGGGAGATAATAGCCAAAGCAGTCAAATAGCTCAACTGGATGGAGAGCTTGCAGTGTATTTATCAGCAAGTAAAAGCATACTCACTTATGGTCACTTGAGAGAGATTTAACACAAACACGCAGTGTGATAAATAGGATTTGGAAGGGCTTAAAAGGTTAGTGAATAGCTAGCAAGCTTGTTAATATTTAAGCAGTATTGATTATAATGCAGACTAATATGTAATTCTCATATTAACAATTAATTATATTGATGCAAGGATTTAATTAGGACTTACCCAGCAGGAGGGATGAGGGATCTGGTGCTGAGATGAATTTCCCTGCTGTAGCCACTGGTCCTCACTCTGGGCAATTGGTCCACACATACTGAGGAAGCAAAAGGCTGAAGGTTGAGATCTTCCAGAGGATGAATGTCACCCTTTAGTACATCAAAGAGCATGGCACACAGACTTCATAGCATATTACATCTGAAAACAGAGAAACAAATCCCCAAAGGAAACCTCCACCTGTGTGTGACAGCTGCTGTGCTCTCCCTCTCAGTTCCGTTTTACTGGATGGTAAGCATTACTTTATTTCCACCAAGTTTAAAAACTGATCTTGTGAAAAGATACATTTTTTTTCTAATATAAAAACAGACTAGGGATTAAATCCACATGCTGATTCCCAGACAAAAGAAACAAAAGTGCATTCATCCTCCAACAAAGCTTGCTGTGCGCCTCCATTTAGAAACAGCACTGACTGATCAGTCATACCTGCAGCCTTCCAGGCCAGAAGTACAATCCTTCAGAGAGCTGCCACACTCATCTGCCCAACCTCACAGCCACGTGAGCTCACATCTCAGAGACTTCCATTCTGGTCGCTTTTCTTCCCAGGTCCCTGAGCATCACCATCTCCTTGTCACATCTCACAGCATCATAAAACCTGAAGCTTTTGGAGATGATAAGCAGGCCAGCCCTCAGCCAAAAAGGAGCTGCCAATTTCGTTCAAGGAGCAGACGCTGAAGGCATTTATGAGAAGCAATCCAGCTCGTGGCTTTCAGCAGTATCTGGCTGCTGAAAAGCAGTGTTATTGAGATTAAAGAATGACAGTAAGTGAATAGCAAATAATAGCTCCTCAGAAGCAATATTCACTGCAGAGTAAAAAGACGCAACTTGAGGGAGAGTTTTGTATGTATTAAAGATGCTTACCCGTGTCTTGTGTGCTTATTAATACCCTTGCTGTTATCCAGGCATGGCACCAAAGCTGCATTTTCCATCATGTTTCCCCAACCTCTTGCATTAGGACGTTCATGTTCTGCAGCTCTTCCTAAGGGGGAAAACAGCAGAGATAGAAAGGTGCAACTTGGAATGAGAGGAAGAAATCTTACGCTACAAGTTAAAACAACAGCCACAACCTGCAATCACCCCACAAGCCCCATAACCCAAGGCGGTCTGAGAGGCGAGCAACCACGGATTAGAGTTTCAGGAGCTTTTTTTCCTCCCTTTCTCGGAGAACTACGAAGTAGGGCCGGGGCTGCACGTCGCGTCGGGGCCGGCAGGCAGCGCTCAGCACCAAGCGATGCGCAGTGCCCGCGCTCCTAAGGGAAGCAGCAGCTAGAGGAGCAAAGAAATCTCTTTCTGCAGGTTGGTTTCTCTCTCTCTCTCTCTCTCTCTTTTCTTTTTTTTTTCCTCTTCTCTTTGCAGACGGTGCCGTTAAACTGAGGGAATGTGGAACTGATGCTTTCTTGTTAAGGGGAAAGTCAGCATTTCCCTGCTTGAATTTGATTCACGCTCAGATGGGTTTCTCTACCTTGCCTTGCTTATTTTTATGGAAAACATCTTGCTTGCTCCTATGGGACCGCATCTTTCAGGGTCTGGTGGCTTATTTCTACCTGCGTGGAGATAAAAATCTCCATCAGCAAAATCTGCACTTTGTCTACATGTTGTCTTTAGGACCAGCTGTGGCTGAACCACCACCTGCTGCTGACTCAAAGGGAAGGTTCAGATATTCGTACTTACTTTAAAAAAACAGTATGATTTGGTTTTATCCTTAATATAAGAACAGCACAATCAGGTGATGCTCCAATCCATATCTACATAAGCAAAAAAGAAATCATTATGAATTGAAAACAAAATCACATTCCAGTGTCCATAGCAGGGTTTGGGACTGGGTGTGCTTTGAGGTCCCTTCCAACCCAACCATTCTGTGATTCCAAGTACCAAAGTACTTTGGATAGCAATGTAAGTGGCAGCAGCCCCTGCTCCTTACAATACTCTCCTTTGCACCCTTCCCAAATTCTAATAGGAACTCCCTCAGTCATGCATACATCTTGGAGAAGGATTTTAGCCATTAGCCTTCACTCTTCCTAGGCACATAGCCTGTCCTTAGCAAAAGACACCACTTCAATAATAAACTATACTTCCAGAAATTTATTTCTTAGTGTTCTTCTTGCAGTGATGAGTCAGAAATCTTTGCATTATGACAGCTTATACCAGTGAATTTTATGCTCCCAGATGCAATTAAGAGTCAGATAAAAGCTCCAGATTCAAGTGCACCCCTCCTGTTCCAAACCTAGTTAAAACTCATTCCTGACATTTAGGTCTCCAAGATGCACCATGAGAGACTCCTCTGAGAGCTGGCTGAGAGGCTGGAGTGATACAGAATTAGTGGGATGGCATCCACAAAGCTTTCTTTGATTATAATTGGAATTTCACAGCAGAAAAGCTGATTTTTCCCGGATAAGGAAGTCATAATAATAAGGAGAACAATAATTATGATAATAAAACATTTAGGAATCACACAATAACTCTATGAGCAAATATCCAATAAATCAAAGCCAGCCCATCAGCAGTTCTACATTGGTCCCACTTCAAGCACTCCCTGAAGCCTCAATGCTCTACAGCAAACCCAAGTTCTGAGCACATTCCCAGGATAAACCCCAGCCTGCATCCTCCTTGGGCAGAGGACTGTGGTTCAGAACCATGTCGGTATCCTCTAAGTCAGCCCTTGAAACCAACCAATTCCATTGCTTTGAAAATACCTCCCACATTCCATAAAATTCAGATAGGAGATGCAGCCCACAGGGATTAATGAGGGCTTGAATTTATTCCTCAAGAGCTTCTGATAGTTTTATTTTTCCACTGTGCCACTATAGTCTTCCTACACACAAAAGTCGCTCGCTTGCTTCCAGCTAGGGAAGGAACTTGATTTCACAGCAAATAAAAATTGCATTTGGGTAAAGAAAAATAAAGAAAGCAATTACTCATGCTGTACTTCAGCACAAAGTTTGCTTACGAAAATTGCCGTGCAGTGGACAAACAGTTCCAGGTGATGTTTTTCTCAGCAGGAGTTCTGCAGTTTGCAGGCTGTGTCCTCACAGCAGCCCCCACAATACGGGGTGATGAGAGCTTGGATTCTTGTGGGAGTTGGGAAACTCAAGGAGTGAAGTCAGCAAAAAGAAAGCTTTGGGGGAAGCCAGCAAGACCCTTCCAACAACCCTCAGATTACAGTCCTTGTGACCATTAGTTGCCATCCAAGCAGTAAAAGGTGTTAAAAACACATCTAACATCCTACTGAGTGTGCCCTGCAGCCATCAGGCACTCGTTTCTGCTCTCCCTTTGCTGCAAGTTTTATGAGTTTGGGCAGAGGGGGCTGGAAAATCTCTCAATGATGTTCCTCACATTTGCAGCCCCAGCAGAACGTCTGGGTTTTGCCTCCCTCTAAATGAGTCTTTTTGATTTTCAGGTTTTTTTTCCAAGTTTGAATTGAACATCAAGGGGGCAAGCATCAGAGAAGAAACCCACTGTCGGCTCAGCCAAATAATTGTATTCTTACTGACTGTAAGAAAAACTGTCTGCCCTCTTCATCTCCCCTCAGAAAGGAAAAAATAACATTAATCTTCACTTAGCACTCTATCATACAATCATTTGAGTTGGAAGAGACTCTTAAAGGTCATCTGGTCCAACTCACCTGCAGTGTACAAGGACACCCACGGCTCCATCAGGTGCTTGGGTTATGCAGGCTGACCCTAAACGTTTCCAGGGATGGGGCAACTACCACTTCTCTGGGCAACCCATGCCAGTGCCTCACCACCCTTATTGTAAAGCACATTTTCCTTCTGTTTAGGCCCAGAGTGACATCATGAAACACAGCTGTCTGATGCTTGTGATATTCCTGCTTCTGCGTGTGCACCTTTTTGAGTGGCATCCTGCATAATCCAGCACAATTCTACACGTTCCATTGTTAATGAGCTCAAAATACACATTACTCAGCTTGACGACTAGGTTTTGTCTTACAGCCATCTGGATGGTTTATTTTAGAAAGTGAACTGGAAGAACAGTGCTTTATTCACAGTTATTAAAAGGGCTCCATGCAAACACGAGGGCTGCAGGGATGGAACTCCTCAATGCGCCTTTGCCTTTCTTCTATTAGCCTCCAGCCTCAGCTTAATCTTAGCACTTCTCCCATTCTTTCGAAAGAGGTAGGTAAAATTTATCATTAACCACAGTGCTTTTATCATGGATACTCTTATTGCCCAACTTCAAACAGAAGCACCATAAATCTCACCATAAATCCATCCATCGACAGCCACTGTTTGCACACCATGAGCACACGCTGACCTGCACTAGACTGCAGCTGGGTAACAGAATTACACTTCATGTTGATGCAAATTAATATTCATACGAGACTTACCTGGCAGTGGCAGGAGGGAAAGGAGGACAAGGTCCAAAAGCCCTCAAGGGCAACTTCTTAAACTGTGCACCAACAGCTCAGTGCCTGAAGTGACTAGAAAACATCCCTTGACTTTCATCTTCCAAGTAAATACGTCTTCCTTTGGATGAAGATGTCCAGTCAGCCTTTAGGGAGGCAGGAATACGCACACCAGTCACAGCAGAATGAGCTGAAATGGTCACAAAAGGTCACTGAAATGGTTTTATTATAAATATGGACCTGGTCATTGTGAATATGTGGCATTCACAATATTACCCTCTTGGTAACTACAGGGTATTTTCATGGCCCATAAGGTACTGCAGGATCATCTGCAGCAGCTTTTACCCAGGTTTCCTCCTCAGAAGAAGCTGTGGAAGGTTTGCCATCCCTGAAACACTCACTACAGGCTTTGGGGACTGGGTTTTCCTTTCTGTGTGTGTCATAGCCAATGTTGCTTGTTTAGAATGTTTCCATTTGTAATTATTACACAATTGAATGAAGCGAGGTGCTTTGATCACATAATCATTACATCTCCCCTGCTTTGAGGCTAACTGTGCAGCATGACAGCATCTGTTTTAATCCCCAGGTGGTGCCAATAAAAACAAGAACTTGTAGTTTAATACCAAGCTATCTGTGGTCTTCTATTCCTTTAACAGCTAATGATAGAACAAAACTACAAAATATAGCAATGATCCCACAGCTGAAACTACCCGTTAAAGCAACACAGGATGTGCAAAGGATCCTGTTAGCACACTGGAAGCCAATGAATCATCTAATGCCCTCCCATATGCACAGAGGATTGCAGATTTCATTTATTTTGTTGGTACCTATCAGAGCCAAAATAGAAGTGCATTTAACAGGGAATCAAAACTCATCACTACTAGGACTGGGATGAAACCTCTTCAGTTGTCAGATTTCACAGCAGAGACTGCATGACACTTTGGCAGGACTTTCATAACCCTGCCATGTCAGGAAGTCATAGGACTGCTTGCAGCTTGATCTGCAAAGCAATTGCCAGTTGGGAAAAATAAGTGAGAACACCACCCATTGCATTTCACAAAGCATAGAAATGGAAAATGATAACAAAATAGAGAATAGATTTGGATGGCTGAAACAGATGGATATTCCCTCAGCATAAATGGTGAGTGTCAGTTAGACACAGCAATTTCTTCCCTGCTGTGGATTTTTAACAAGAGAAACAGGAAGATTAGTAGGGTGGATACCACGAGTCTGCAGAGGTCTCTGTGATCTCAAGTAAGGTGAATTTACCTACAATGCCCTCAGTGGTCTCCAGGGAAACATTCTTACATGGCATTCACTGGCACAGAAAGATCAACAAAGCCATGTGCACAAGCTGCAGTTTTTGCCTAGCTCTTTCTCTTCCAATCTATTTGTTTGCACAGAGGTACCATTTATGGACAGATTCCTCCCCAGGATGATTTGTGCTAACTCCACAGTGCCTCCAGTAAACTCATTTTTCTTTAATCCCCTCTGGTACAGGGGCTGACGAAGGCAGTTGTGATTCCTGGATCTATGCCCTTGGCAAACTTGTGATTAATACCACCTCTTGATCTTAGAGACTTGGGATTTTAAGAACTTTGTGGTTGAAAACTTGAATCTGCCAGACCACAGGAGCCTGAAGAATTTTCAGTGCCACTTGTTTCCTCTGTGGCATTGGATTAGTCTCATTACTACATTATTTTGTCCAGACTTCATATTCCCAAAAAGAGTCCCCTAGGAGTCCCTTGCAACCTCTTTATGTCATATACAGAGAAACACACTCATGCTTTTCTGCTGCTCTCTCCTCTGACACTCCAATTTTACTGCACTCTGCTGATTCCTCTCTGATATAAACCTGAATAATTCACATTTTTTTAATTTTCTTTTTTTTTCTACTAACTTTTTCACTTGTTTCTTACTGGCATTTGCGTCAGTTGTGTGATCAACCCAGAGAGGGCAGGATGGAAGTCTAGCAGGCTCAGCAGAGTAGTCCTCTCCTGGAAGACCTGTAGGGTTGTGTACCAAGCATATTGTAGCCTTTATTTGAACATTAGTAAGGGTTAGATTTACAAATATGACCATCAATCCTGATGATGTGTATAGAATCATTCTGTGTATTTAGAATCGTTAAGGTTGGAAAAGACCACTAAATCACCAAATCCAACACCAACTTACCCCCACCATACTCATTGACCATGTCTCCATGTGCCACATCTCCACAGTTCTCAATCACCTCCAGGCATGAGGACTCCACCACTTCCCTGGGCAGCCTATGCCAGTGACTGACCATGCAGTTAAGAAGGAGCTAAGCTCACCTTTGTATTATGTCTCAGGGGCTTCTTCTCTGGTCCAGCATCAGAAGGATTTGCTTCACAGTAGCAGAAATAGATAGAGTGCTACAGTAAAAATAAGCCACACCAATGGGGAAACAGCAAAATCATTACATAGATCATACTTATATGGGAATGAGAGAAGTAGTGGTGTAGCTAGGCTGGTGCAATTCTACGAGCAAGAGTTTCTGTGTGTCCCAAGGAAAGAACTTCCGTCTGGGCTAGCAAAACTATTGCCTCTCTCCATGGATTTTGGTCAGTTGTGGACAACACCTTGAGCAGCATGCATAAGAAAGATACTCCTGCCTTTCTTTCATGAGGACTCCCATGGGCCAAAGAGCAGCCAGCAGCCAGCCCAGGCTCCATGGTCCCCGCTGGGACAGGCTCAAGGAATGAAGGGCTCACAATATGTCAGCAGGCTGGTTTCGAATCAAACCCTCATTCACCTCTGCAAAAGCAAGGAGCGACAGACAGCAGTGCCGAATGGCTGCTCTGGTCCTGCCCCAGGAGGAACTCTCCATGGGAGATTTACTGTCACCACAGACCTGGGGCAGGTGACAGCACTGCTCTGGCACTCCCACTGTCTCCTTCAGGGCAGTGTCAGGAGGAACACATCCAGCCTTGGCTCTCTGACACTGCAAGAGAAAGGACAAACCGAGTCTGACTTAATGACACTACCTAAAGAGAAAGTGCTCGTAGTGCTGAGGATTTAAATTATTCTGTCATACATTGCTTCTGGCATGAACTGTTGGCATGGAGACTATTGCGAAATGTAATACAACATAAATAAAATATTAATGGCACACGAGAAACAGGAAGTGATTTAAAGAGATACTGAGCTGCCAACTGAGTTACAGTTTGGAGTTTATCATGCAAACAACAGGGAAATTTATGATTGAAGCTACAAAGGGCAACAGAGAACACTCTTGCTCTGACAGAGTACCAAGGGCCCTCAGAACAACTCAGAAAAGACTAATCTGGGAGAGGGATGAAGTACTTCCTAAAACTTTTTTCTCCTCCAAGAAATAAAAGGAGGAAAAATGCTTAGAAGAGCACAGGTGACAGCACAGCATTTACCAGGATGAGAACAATGCTGCCATAGCTTCTGCCTCGTCATCTTGGGTTGCCTTGGCAGGAAAATCAATTCCCAGAGTGAAGAAAAGGCAACAGGAGTCAGCAAGGCTGAGCTGAGTGCCCAGAGCTGGCAGTGGGGCTGGTGTTCCTTAGCATGGATGTAGACCACGAGGTTGAGAATCAGGTCATGTATTTTGAGATATGAGGTTTCCACAGGCTCAGGTGATTGCAAAGCTGTTAACAAAACATAATCATAGAATCATTAAGGTTGGAAAAGGCCACTGAGATCATCTAGTCCAAGTATCAATCCACCAAATGACAGTAAGACAGTTGGCAGGACTGAAGTGACTGAGCAGTTCCTGAGCCAGCACAATCAATGCCTCGGAGCCAGGCCCACTATATTGTAGTAGTTGGCCTCAGCAGCTTCACATAATAGACTCATAGAATCACCAACATTGGAAAAGATCTCCAAGACCATCCAAGTCCAGCCACTCACCACTATTTTCCCTCTAAACTATGTCCCTTAGTATGTCCACACATTTCTAGAACACAATTACTTATTTGACCCCAAAGCAACGCATTTGTAATTTATGAATGTATAAAGGAATGGGTAATAAATCCTCTCTACTCACACCCCTTTTCTCTCTGTAGGGTTTTGATATCTACATCCCTTCCTTCAGGACCTGTTGCTGGCTCCTCAATGTATGTAAATATCATTAAAAATAAATAAATTTTCTGAAGCCTGATAATTTGCAATTTACATAAATCGTAAGAACTGTTCCCAAGGAGTGTGAATTGGAAGAGAAAGCCTGAGTGATCTGGGAATAACTAAGCCTTTCTGATCTAAATATCTGGGAGATAGCTGGAGATGAAAAATTTCCATATACAATGCAAAACATCAGCCATAATTTAAAAGCCCTGTCTCCAGGCAATAGAATTCTCCCAAGTAACAATTCTAACTGCTGAATTTCTTACATAGAACTTGCAGAACTTCTTACTGAATGCTCCATGCATCGCAGAGCAGCACTGCAAACATGGAGAACAATGGAAATTGCAGTATAATCACCAGCAATTTACATACATTCGTTAATTTGCTATTCAAAATGAACCAGAGAGACAAGGGCTCTCTCTGCAGGTGCAGAGTCTCTGCTTGGGCACATCAATGCATACTTGTGATAAATTTGTCACAGCACCGTTTGCACAAATGCATATAATTTCACTTAAAATATTTTAAGTATAATTGCATGGTAGAAAGTTTACAGAGGCAAAGAAATTGCTAGGAACGTTATATGGAGTTAACATATAGGGAACAAAACAAGCTCACATCTCCATTCTTTTATTCAGTGAATGAGGGCAAATGCTCGGACTAGTCCACAGCCATATCAGTTTATTGTGCACTATCTAGAAAGCTGCATGAGGTGCTTATTGACTCATGGGATGTGGGGAAACACGGGAGAATGGTGTGGAAGTGCTCATTAAAGTGTTTAGCACATGCGCCCATTGTGCTTGTCTTCCTTCTATTGTCTCTGCAGCAAGGCAAAGGCTGGGCTGTTCCCAGAGAGAGGATGTCTGAAGTCAACATCAAAACCATTTTCCTGGGAAGTGGATGCTGATTTATAAACAGAAGCGCTCTCAACAGGGCCATGGAGGGTCCCCAGTGTCTGGCTAACATCACCTCCACCCTTCCCACCCCAGAGGACAGTTTTCCTGCCCCACCTGCTGAGCCTGGGCTACTGCAAGGCGCTCTGCTCTCTATCAGCAATGCTGAGTCCAACTGCTCCATGGCTTCTCCGTGTCACTTCTCCCCGAGGACCACATGTCCAAACTGATAGTTTTATGGTTTTGCTGCCTTCTTTTTTTTTTAAATGTTTTAATAAAAGATATTAGAAAATAAAAGAAGTTTTGCTACTTACATGCATTAACCAATTATAGATGTTATAGGTGGCCAAGGACAATTCCTCTTCACTCAATGTACTCCAGGCAAGCCAAAATGTTGGAGTGAAACGTCTTCATTCAGAAACGACTGCTCTGCAATTCCCAATTCATAGTAGAAGAAAAAAAGACAAAGAAAACAGAGGCCTTGTTCAGAGCACCTGGCAGCAAAGAACAACAAAAAACAGTTACAGAAAAAATAGCAAGCCGATGGAAAAACACAGCCACCTGTGTATTTTCTCTGGTGGTGCCACGCTTCTGTGCAGAGCCAGGAGTTGGGCTCAGTGATCCTTATGGATTCCTTCCAAAATGGGGTGATCTATGATACTATTAAAAGGCTTCGTGCCCTTCATTGTTTCTCTCCTCTGCACTGTTCCCATGCTCTGCCTCCTCCCTGTGCCTCTTCCCCTCTTTGCACCCTATACTGCTGCACAGTCAGACTATGTCTCCTGCCTGCCCACCCATGGATGGGATCTTGAGACACCAATATCACACCAGTCAGCTTTGGATTTGTTAATGCCATGCTATCATGTTGCTCTATATTTCCATTACTATAGCTTCACATGTTTCACTTTATTTCCATTAAGCACTAGCAAAATCATTTGTGAAGGCACTTATAATTAGGCAAGTAATTATAAGCGCATTTATAGTAATTCATCAACATTAGGTGGCTCGGGAGAAGCAGATTTGCAGGCAGGTGGGTCTCAGCAGCACCAGTACCTTCTCACTGCAGAGAATGAAGGCGATTAGAGGTGGGTACAGCAGCATGATTACACTCCTCCTGGCTTTGCCCTGGAGATATTTCTGTCATCCACAAGCAGAAGGGCTCAGATGCATTCCTTGCCCCTTGCTTCATTATGGCTGACCCAGTAATACACAAAGGGAACTGATTTGCTGTTTGAAAGTCGCATGTTGCAACCATGACAGTACACAAATGGGTTTAGCCTCTCCCCCTCTCAGGGAAACAAAATGACATATAAAACCACAAGAAATATAAAATAAAATGCGAAACCACAAGCCTGAGCTTGGGCATCTCTGCTCATTGCAGGGGCGTTGGCCTTCAAGGGTCACTTCCAACCCATTTCCATGATTCTGTGAAGAACAAAACACAGTTTGGCACCCTGGGTCAGCCTGGTAGCGAGCGAGCCATGCCAGCTGGGAAGGATGCACCAGAAGTATCCAGAAGTGCCCAACATAAATACAATGTGGGGGAATGACAGCTTCAGATATCAATGTTAATCTCCCTACCTGAGCTGCCCTAAGTTTGGCTCTGCTTTTATGACTTGCTGAGAGCTACCAAACAACAGCACCTAATGAGCTGTCAGCACTCGGCACTACTTTTGGAGTCAGTTTCTCTACTGCGGAAAATGACAGTTCAGCTCAGTGGGAGCGACGTCTGCATGCGAGGAGAAGTCAGAACCTGAGATGAACTGCAGTTTAATTTCACCACCTGCACCCTCTGAGCTACATGGGCTTGTTTCCTTTAATGAGAGCACACCTGCTTGTAGATGCAACCTTTCTGGCAGTGGAACTCAACTTTCACATTAAACACGTTCCTATAGTCTGTATCTCACTTTGGATGTTCATTTCATGGGCGATTACTGCCCCAGTCTTTCACACACCATTTCCCTGTGTGATTGCAGCCTATTTTCCAAAGGAAATTTAAAAGTCTTCTTGGGACACGGAGTAAATAGGAAAAAAACCTTCCCAAACTGCTTTCTCAGGTGAGAGCCATGCCTCTCATCTTTGCTTCAGTGGATAAAAGCTGCTCCTCACTGCCACGCACTCACTTCACAGTACTGCACCTCATGCACCCAATCCCTCCTTATGGGGTCAGTGTTTCCCCATTTGGGGTGCTATGTAGTGCCCAAGACAGGGCAGCAGTGCCCTGCCTTTCTAAGATTGGTCCTGCTCTGCTGGTGTGTGCAGCTCGCCAGTTCCCTCCCAGGTGCATGTGGTCCCCTCCTGCTCCACTACTTGCCCACTTTCTCACCTCACACTGTACAGTATGCAGACGTGTAAAAGCCCACAAACAAATGCAGTTCAATAATGAGGTGTTTAAATGCTCTAACACACATGCTGGAGCTGCTGTTGCTAATAGAAACGTGTTTCACTTCTATAGAGGCAGTTTCCTCGGTAACTGATGCCACCGCAGGCCCCATCCTGCATGGTGCTGACTCCTCCATAGGAGCAGAAAGCCACACAGGTGCTGTGCATCATCCCATACGCAGCTCCATTACAACAGGCAGTGTCCAGAGTGATTTCAAAAGTGGATTTTGATTTCTATACGGTGCAAACCAGTTACAGGAGGGAGGAAAACATTACACCCATCAACATGACATTCAATCAAATGCTCTAATACAAGAATAGCCAGTACTCTGCAGCATGCAAGCAATGATGTCTGGTGTTTGAGTACATTGTGGTCGCTCTCTGCCACTCTTGGCCATTCGCTTCAATGTCCAAGACAAGAAACTCCCCAGGAATTGAATGATAATAAGGAATTTACCTAAGCTTCTATTGAACAGCACATGGGCCACATGACTCACCAGGGAATCCTGGGGGGATCCCTGAGAGTTTTTCAGCAGTGGAAAACTACAGAAACTCATCCTGACTGCTCATGAATACAGTGCCTGCTATCTGTCCACCCAAAACAGTGTAAGGGAGGCACATCTAATCGAGCACTTAACAGCTCCTCTCAACTCCTATTTAGCTTTGAAGCCTGCTGTTCCTACTCACAAGCATTAGGATGCTGAAAAGCTCTCCTAATTTTCCACTAATGTCAGATCATCTGAGGATGTCTGCCTGCAGACCTTGTGCTGCCTGAACATGGTCTTATCTTGGTGGCACCAGGAAATGCACTCGACGAAATCATGTCCAAACTGATGATATCAGCACCTGAAATGGTCTGTAGGATGGATCTTCCTCTAGTTTCTATGGGTGTCCTGAGTTGAATTTTTTTTCTCTCTCTACAGATACAGTGCAGCGAACTGCTTTGCTGGCCAGGCCTGGCCCTCAGCTGGGTAACTCCCAGCATTGACCAGCAAGGAACGAGGGAGGAGATACCATTGCACTGAATGCTGCTGTGAGATACAGGCTGACAACAGGGCTATGGGATGCTTGGCTGCCAGCAGAGCTGGAGGAGATCTCCAGAGACCATCTCCCCCATCTCCACTGCAAACAGCAACAGCAATGTCACCATCACTGGGTGCTTCTCTAGCCTCCCATAGAGACCCCCAAAATGGTGTCTTCATGTCTGTATTAGCACCCTATCTGTCACTCAGCTGTCTTTTGCCATGCTCCCTCCCGATCTGTCATGTCTTGTCTGTCTTCTTTTTTGTTCTGCTCCTCTTTCTGTTCTCTCCTTGTCTGTTCTTTCTCTAATTCTTGGCACTGATTTGTTTCTCTTCTACTGAAGAGACTAATCTGAGCTTTTCAACGCTTTCTGCTCCTCCTCATCCTTCATTCTGCTCTCTCCCCCTCCTCATATCAGTCTCAAGCACAGACCAGGTCACAGAAGGCAATCAGCTCTGAAAGCCTTTCTGAACTCTGTTTTCCTTCTTGGAAACAATCCCAAAAACAAATAATAAGTGCTTCTTTTAATTAGAGAGACCACTGGGCTAGCATTAAAATTACCTTCTGCTGACAGGATGCACTTAACTGACTGCTGATTTGCTCAGCCAACGATGCTGCAGGATTTGTTCATTAATTCTAGCAGAGAAAAAGAGTCAGTTACAACAGACCTGGCTCCACGCTTAAACGACACCTGCAATTATGGCAGCACATCTGTGGTTAAGGTTAAGGCAGTTTGCTTCTGCAGTCTGTGATTTCCAGACTTCTGAACTGGCAAGAAATGACCTGCTGAACAAGAACTGCTGCACTTTGCTCCTTGGCAAGTCTCTCTCATCTGCAGCACCACTCTAGAGAGGCAGGAATGCATTTTTAAGCCAAAAAGACTTTGCAATTAAGGTACTTTCCCACCTATCATGTTAGTCTATCCGTTAGACAAGTGCATGCCAGGAGTTCAGCCCACAGTTCCAAGAGCAGGCACATCTCTGTGCTCATGGTAGTCACAGAACCAGCACAGAGTCATAGAGTGGCTTGAAGTCCTTCACCTGTTGCTGGTCTGTAGTGGGGCCTCAGATTTCCTTAAAGAACCAAAATCAATTAGGACCCAACCTAAAGCTTCTCTGACTCTCCTGGGCAGGGCCAGCCCACTCATTTCATCTTTGCATTGTTTCTTAATGCCAGTAGTTCCTTGGTTTCTCTATAATGGTTTTCAATGGTCCAGGAGGGGAATTTTTTTTTGGCTCAAGCTAGATGTCAGTTCTTACACTGAGAATCCAGTTAATTTCCATAAATATCGACACACAACATTTCCTTCCTGGCTGGACAAACATACTGATATGATCTAATAACTGATAGGCAGTTAGAATGCCTATTTGCTTCCCCTTTTAGAATGCATCACGTTATGTTACCTGCACCTTTATGTCCTTCTAGCTTCCAGGACTGCAGCTGGGCGGTTGTTAATGCACGTTCCTGCTATTATCAGGAGACATCCATACAGGTCTTCAGCACTTCTACCTCTGAGGGTATAGAGGAAAGCAATATTCAGTGGCTGTGTCTGCTCCCAGAGGAGACACAACCCCAAACTCTTGGGGCAGACTGACTTGCTGTGCTGTGAGGCTCCCTGTGCTGCAGTTGCCAACATCCCACAGGGCGGCTGACCCAGCAGACAGCAGATTCACCCATCTTTCATGCTGTGAGGGTGCTGAGGTGAGCGCTGGTAACGGGGCCAACCTGCTCTGAGCACTGGGACTCATCTTGCTCTGGGATGCACTCAGCAAAACCGGCCAGGCTGCCAAGATCTGCTGCTAAACCTTCACTGCATTGCCCTGGGCAAAACACCTCTGAGTGATGCCCTCTGAGCAGCTCTTCCAGACGGTGTTTGCAGCACACCCACATGTGGAGCAGATGATGCTGCTTTCTTGGGACCCCAGAAATCTCACTACAGCAAACCTGCTGCAAGGTGGGAAATTGCTCCCCAGCCTATGGAGCTATGGAAAGCAGACTTAAACAAAAGGCGCTTTCCTCCTGCCTAAGTCTCTTTTAAATGACAAACACCCTAATTCCTTGATTGAAGGTTGACATTTCTCCTTGTTTAAGAGGTGAAGCCTGGATCAGAGACGTCACTCATGCTGTTGGCTGAGAGCCCGATGGGCTGGGATGGGCTCACTGCTAAACTCACGCTGCCACACAATAGCAGAGATTATTCTGTTGGGTATTGAGAAGTTACATCTGAGCAGCGTGGCTACAGAAGGAGCACCGAGGCCTGTGGTGGAATAAGTACTCTGAAACATCCAGAGGTTTGTCACAACGCGTTGTTTGCACAATCAATATGATGGCATTGTCAAATATCTGTTCCAAATTCAAACCTTGAAACAAACCCCAAATCATCCAGGTCTGCGTTGGCCCCACTGCACATCACCTGGTGACATTTTGCAGCTGGCAACCATCGGTCTGAAAGCTGTGCTTCTGATAGGATTATCAGCTCCGTGAGGATCGAAGTTGGATCAGGCATCACTCATGAGTTTTCTTCCTCCTGGTAAACACACACAAACAGAATTCAGATACACAGGCGCATTATATAAAATAAATGACAGCGTTGGACCTGAGGATGTGTTACTGCCTCCCTGGCATAATGAAAGAAGAGAGCACATTATTTATTCCTGCAGGAGAAGGATATTTAACAAAATTACACTCTAAACATTATTTATAGGGTAACCTTGTCTCCACAACCTTTTCCAGCGGAAACAAATTAGAGATCATCCATCACGAGCAACTTCTGCTGTTCCAGTCTCTCCTCCAGCAAGGTTTTGTGCCAGACCATGCAATGCCCTGAGATTTCATCACCACCTGGAGCTGATCCCATCTCAGCCACCCGCAGCTGTGCTGGGTGATCACACCATGCCTGCAAGCAGTGCAACCCCAGACAGCCCAAAAATCTGGAGCTGCCTGCTTCAGTTAATCACAGTCAGATTCCCCAGGACGTTTACCCACTAAGAGATCAGTGCAAACCACACAGGGTGCTAATTCTCAGTGCTGTGAGTATTAAAGCCCTCTTGGTGCTCACTAGAAATTGACTGCTACCACTTCAGCCTAACCCAGTTCCCAAACTGGCCTCAGCCCAGCGACATCCAGGTGATGCTGGAGAGGAGCCAAGGTGCAGCTCAGCAGTGTTGGCTCTGCCCACTCCTACAGCCATGCCAGATGGGTCTTTGGACATGTTTCCAATTAAATGTATGAGAGTCACCCTCCCTCACTTCCTACCCACTGTCTTATTTTAAGTAATGAATCACACATTTTATGGTTGGTTGGTTGTTTTTTTTTTTCCCCTTTTTCTCTTATGAAGCTGAAAATGCAGTTCAAGCTTTTCCAGTTCTTCAACATTCCGGACTTCTGCAACACCAGCAGCAAGTAAATTCTGCCACCAATGAACATTCTTGTAGCTCTTGGCATTGCTAAGTGTCATTTGTCATAGAGGATGTCCCTTTTTTGATCTTTTCAAACATTCCCCATGGCAATAGGCTTGTTTTTCCCCAGTTAGCAAACTCATTTGTGATATTCAGAAATAACGGGTACTCTGAAATTTCTGGAGGCCACATCCAGGATCTCCTGAGCCACGGCCAAGGCGAGATACTGCAATGTGTTGGGGTGCTCTGTATCACAGCAAGATGATGGTATATACTTATCAGAACATGAGACCTTGTCACCCCAAGGCTGCAGACACTTGGAGAGAGGAGCCAGAACAATGATGAATGAAGACAGCGTGGGCAAGCTGTGCAAGAAGTGACTCTATTGTGCAGATGGAGCCATTGCATTTGGGCTGTCCCATGGAGCAGGATGGATTTGCTCGGCCCTCACCCAGCCACCCAGGGCTGTGTTAACCTCAAACATGGAATTTTCTAAAGTTCTATGGGGTGAAAAAGCCTTCTGAGCCAGGAGGATAGGGACTTGTCAGCCAAGTGCCTTTTACAGGCAGTGAAACAAAATAAAAGTGGCAAAAAATGAAGACTAATGAAGAGGAAGCAGAAACCTGAGGAAATAATGGCCAACCTGAAAGCTGCAGATTGCTTCGTGAGCTTATTCAAACAGTGTGCAGGTACCCGAGACTTTTCTCTTTTAACTGGTAAAAATAATCAACACCTACCCACCTTTGAAGTTCAGTGACAATAACGAACTGGTGAATATTTATAGGAAAAGCCATGGCACATAAAGTACTCCAAAGGACTTATGTAAGTGCCACTTTCTTTAAAACAGTTCTAGAGGGAATGCTTTAAGAAGCTTTATCAGCATAAAACATATTTTGGAATTCATGAAAATTCATAATTGGCAGGGAAATGTCAAGTCCCTCTTTAGTGGAATGACGTAACCCTGTTGGACAATATCTTTATTTTTTACTAACTCTAATGGTTAATCTTGCAAGTTGAGAGAGGAAAATTCACTTCTGCTGTTAAATGTAATGGAACAAAGGGGAAAACTTCTCCAGCTAGCAGGGACTTTATGGAAAGCAAATAAGGTGACAGGTTCTACTGAATAAGGCCCATTCTCCAAAATAAAACCAATTAACCCAGAGTAAATTGAGGAAATTGATGATCCAACATATTTTTGCATATGAATGGCAGAGTTTAGGGTCTGAATGCTTCTCCAAGCAGCTCTGGACAGCCACAGTACCTTTGCAGAGTCCTTCACTTTTCTGAGATTTCTCACATGCTGAATTTTTGGGTTACACACTAGAAGAATCTTTTGAGACAAAAGCAAAACTGGTTGCCAGATCTCACTGGGTTTCAAATGAAAGCCATGCAAACAACCAGGCCATGTAGTGTTTGCCTCTTTGGGTTAGAATATGTAAGATTTGGTTCTTAGTGAAATCTAAGACCAATGTAACCCCCTCCAGCATTTCTGTACCACTAAAATTACCATTTTGCCCTTGAAAAATTAAAGCCACTCCATTTATCTCATTTCCTCAGGTTTCACTTGCAGCCTACTCATCCAACAGT